GTCCATATCTCTGCCAATATTGATCGGATCGTTGAACGGAATACCTTAAACGATTTGTGGATCGTTTCTCTACCAAACTGCATTAAAACCTGGAAACCCATTTTCGATTCCATTTTTTGTCCATTTTTCCCATGGACTCCCTTGAAAATGGGGAAATGCATGGGGCAGCCTATATGGGCCCACAGCGATGTCCATATCTCTGCCAATATTGATCGGATCGTTGAACGGAATACCTTAAACGATTTGTGGATCGTTTCTCTACCAAACTGCATTAAAACCTGGAAACCCATTTTCGATTCCATTTTTTGTCCATTTTTCCCATGGACTCCCTTGAAAATGGGGAAATGCATGGGGAGGCCTATATGGGCCCACAGTGATGTCTATATCTCTGTCAATATTGATCGGATCGTTGAACGGAATACCTTAAACGATTTGTGGATCGTTTCTCTACCAAACTGCATTAAAACCTGGAAACCCATTTTCGATTCCATTTTTTGTCCATTTTTCCCATGGACTCCCTTGAAAATGGGGAAATGCATGGGGAGGCCTATATGGGCCCACAGTGATGTCTATATCTCTGTCAATATTGATCGGATCGTTGAACGGAATACCTTAAACGATTTGTGGATCGTTTCTCTACCAAACTGCATTAAAACCTGGAAACCCATTTTCGATTCCATTTTTTGTCCATTTTTCCCATGGACTCCCTTGAAAATGGGGAAATGCATGGGGCAGCCTATATGGGCCCACAGCGATGTCCATATCTCTGCCAATATTGATCGGATCGTTGAACGGAATACCTTAAACGATTTGTGGATCGTTTCTCTACCAAACTGCATTAAAACCTGGAAACCCATTTTCGATTCCATTTTTTGTCCATTTTTCCCATGGACTCCCTTGAAAATGGGGAAATGCATGGGGCAGCCTATATGGGCCCACAGCGATGTCCATATCTCTGCCAATATTGATCCGATCATTGAACGGAATACCTTAAACGATTTGTGCATCGATTCTCTACCAAACTGCATTAAAACCTGGGAACCCATTTTCGATTCTATTTTTTGTCCATTTTTTCCATGGACTCCCTTGAAAATGAGGAAATGCATGGGGCAGCCTATATGGGCCCACAGCGATGTCCATATCTCTGCCAATATTGATCGGATCGTTGAACGGAATACCTTAAACGATTTGTGGATCGTTTCTCTACCAAACTGCATTAAAACCTGGAAACCCATTTTCGATTCCATTTTTTGTCCATTTTTCCCATGGACTCCCTTGAAAATGAGGAAATGCATGGGGCAGCCTATATGGGCCCACAGCGATGTCCATATCTCTGCTAATATTGATCGGATCTCTGAACGGAATACCTTAAAAGATTTGTGGATCGATTCTCTACCAAACTGCATCAAAACCTGGGAACCCATTTTCGATTCCATTTTTTGTCCATTTTTCCCATGGACTCCCTTGAAAATGAGGAAATGCATGGGGAGGCCTATATGGGCCCACAGCGATGTCCATATCTCTGCCAATATTGATCGGATCTCTGAACGGAATACCTTAAACGATTTGTGGATCGATTCTCTACCAAACTGCATCAAAACCTGGGAACCCATTTTCGATTCCATTTTTTGTCCATTTTTCCCATGGACTCCCTTGAAAATGAGGAAATGCATGGGGAGGCCTATATGGGCCCTCAGCGATGTCCATATCTCTGCCAATATTGATCGGATCTCTGAACGGAATACCTTAAACGATTTGTGGATTGATTCTCTACCAAACTGCATCAAAACCTGGGAACCCATTTTCCATTCCATTTTTTGTCCATTTTTCCCATGGACTCCCTTGAAAATGGGGAAATGCATGGGGCAGCCTATATGGGCCCACAGCTATGTCCATATCTCTGCCTATATTGATCGGATCGTTGAACGGAATACCTTAAACGATTTGTGGATCGATTCTCTACCAAACTGCATCAAAACCTGGGAACCCATTTTTGATTCCATTTCTTATCCATTTTTCCCATGAACTCCCTTGAAAATGGGGAAATGCATGGGGCAGCCTCTATGGGCCCACAGCGATGTCCATATCTCTGCCAATATTGATCGGATCGTTGGGCGGAATACCTTAAACGATTTGTGGATCGATTCTCTACCAAACTGCATTAAAACCTGGGAACCCATTTTCGATTCCATTTTTTGTCCATTTTTCCCATGGACTCCCTTGAAAATGGGGAAATGCATGGGGCAGCCTATATGGGCCCACAGCGATGTCCATATCTCTGCCAATATTGATCGGATCTCTGAACGGAATACCTTAAACGATTTGTGGATCGATTCTCTACCAAACTGCATCAAAACCTGGGAACCCATTTTTGATTCCATTTCTTATCCATTTTTCCCATGAACTCCCTTGAAAATGGGGAAATGCATGGGGCAGCCTCTATGGGCCCACAGCGATGTCCATATTCTCTGCCAATATTGATCGGATCTCTGAACGGAATACCTTAAACGATTTGTGGATCGATTCTCTACCAAACTGCATCAAAACCTGGGAACCCATTTTCGATTCCATTTTTTGTCCATTTTTCCCATGGACTCCCTTGAAAATGGGGAAATGCATGGGGCAGCCTCTATGGGCCCACAGCGATGTCCATATTCTATGCCAATATTGATCGGATCGTTGGGCGGAATACCTTAAACGATTTGTGGATCGATTCTCTACCAAACTGCATTAAAACCTGGGAACCCATTTTCGATTCCATTTTTTGACCATTTTTCCCATGGACTCCCTTGAAAATGAGGAAATGCATGGGGAGGCCTATATGGGTCCACAGCGATGTCCATATCTCTGCCAATATTGATCGGATCGTTGGGCGGAATACCTTAAACGATTTGTGGATCGATTCTCTACCAAACTGCATCAAAACCTGGGAACCCATTTTCGATTCCATTTTTTGACCATTTTTCCCATGGACTCCCTTGAAAATGGGGAAATGCATGGGGAGGCCTATATGGGTCCACAGCGATGTCCATATCTCTGCCAATATTGATCGGATCTCTGAACGGAATACCTTAAACGATTTGTGGATCGATTCTCTACCAAACTGCATCAAAACCTGGGAACCCATTTTCGATTCCATTTTTTGTCCATTTTTCCCATGGACTCCCTTGAAAATGGGGAAATGCATGGGGCAGCCTATATGGGCCCACAGCGATGTCCATATCTGTGCCAATATTAATCTGATCGTTGAAAGGAATACCTTAAACGATTTGTGGATCGATTCTCTACCAAACTGCATCAAAACCTGGGAACCCATTTTCGATTCCATTTTTTGTCCATTTTTCCCATGGACTCCCTTGAAAATGGGGAAATGCATGGGGAGGCCTATATGGGTCCACAGCGATGTCCATATCTCTGCCAATATTGATCGGATCGTTGGGCGGAATACCTTAAACGATTTGTGGATCGATTCTCTACCAAACTGCATCAAAACCTGGGAACCCATTTTCGATTCCATTTTTTGTCCATTTTTCCCATGGACTCCCTTGAAAATGGGGAAATGCATGGGGCAGCCTATATGGGCCCACAGCGATGTCCATATCTCTGCCAATATTGATCGGATCTCTGAACGGAATACCTTAAACGATTTGTGGATCGATTCTCTACCAAACTGCATCAAAACCTGGGAACCCATTTTCGATTCCATTTTTTGTCCATTTTTCCCATGGACTCCCTTGAAAATGGGGAAATGCATGGGGCAGCCTATATGGGCCCACAGCGATGTCCATATCTCTGCCAATATTGATCGGATCTCTGAACGGAATACCTTAAACGATTTGTGGATCGATTCTCTACCAAACTGCATCAAAACCTGGGAACCCATTTTCGATTCCATTTTTTATCCATTTTTCCCATGGACTCCCTTGAAAATGAGGAAATGCATGGGGAGGCCTATATGGGCCCACAGCGATGTGCATATTCTCTGCCAATATTGATCGGATCTCTGAACGGATTAGCTTAAACGATTTGTGGATCGATTCTCTACCAAACTGCATCAAAACCTGGGAACCCATTTTCGATTCCATTTTTTGTCCATTTTTCCCATGGACTCCCTTGAAAATGGGAAAATGCATGGGGAGGCCTACATGGGTCCACAGCGATGTCCATATCTCTGCCAATATTGATCGGATCGTTGAACGGAATACCTTAAACGATTTGTGGATCGATTCTCTACCAAACTGCATCAAAACCTGGGAACCCATTTTCGATTCCATTTTTTGTCCATTTTTTCCCTTGAAAGTGAAGAAATGCATGGGCCGAGCTGGAACTTTTGTCTAAAACTTTTGTTTAAATTTCCCATCTTCCCAATCCATTGAAATCAAATTTCCGCACAGACCTTTCAATTTTTATGTTACCATATTACCGGAATCGATGGCCCCAGGGGATTTTGTTCCAGCGACTCGCCGAATTTCAAGAAAATCGCTGACAGTTTAAAGAGCACTCTGTGGCACCAAGCGGCAGACCGTGTCCCCTTTTCCCGCCAACGGATATGGCGAAGCACCAGACCGACGCCGGATCGGGTGGACATCTGTCAAAGCGGAAAATTCCGCCAACTTTGCTGCAGGCTGTGCAACAACAAAAAAAACCTAGGAAATGGAGAAAAAAGCATCTCAAAATACGAGGGTGGCTGCTGACATTCATTTACTTTGCTGCTGGCCAACGGGGCGTATGAGCAATGATGGCAAGACATGGCATTTTTAATGCTTTTGTTTTGCATTCGGCGTAATTAAGAAAACAACTTGATGAATAAATCCCGGAGGGTCTGCGAGAGAGTTTAAATTGCGTGGAGCGTCGGATTATGCACAAGTGCAATTATGCACCTTTGTGTTTCCCCGCGCGGTCCTTTGTTTCTTGATCATTAGCTCCCAGGACCCCAAGGCAATTGCAATTTAGAGGTGAGTGTGAGATAAAAGGGTGGGAAAAAATCTCGATAAACTCACCGAAGGTGACACCATTCGTTTGCTTCTCCTTATCCTTGTCCTTGTCCTTGTCGCTCTTTTCGCCGCCCAACGGCTCCAGCTCGATGCCATCGGTGGTGGCCACTTTGTAATCCCGTTTCGACATATTGCCACAGCAGAAGCCACAACATAACATTCGGCCAATTTTGTAGGCTTGTGGTTTAAGTGGCGCCGTTTTGGATCTTCGATTGGCCACGAGGCACTCTTCGGGGTCCAGGATAAACGGGGGGGCTTAACGGATCCTTGCCTCGGATTTGGGTTGGGATGAGGGCCGGGGTTGCCTAGTCCCAGACAACAGAGATATGTTTCTTATCCAAAAAAATGGGGCTTCGTTTACAAAAGGGGTTTCTTTTCGTGTAAAAGTGTATGTAGAAGACTAGAAAGGTCGGTGAGTAGCGTTGAGTTGATTGATTGTTGTGTTTACTTTCGATATTCGATCTAAAATTGGTCCAGTTTAGGCTTTTCTACAAAGATAAGTGGGGTTTCGTTGTAGAAATTCTGGAAATAAAATAAAATAATTGTTAAAAGTCTGAATAAACTATTTAAACTATTGATTTATTAAAACCCATTTTTATATCGATTTTTATATCAAACAAACAAAAAGCAATTTGTGTTTCAATTTATTCTCAAACACGGAAAGTAATCCCAACCAGAGTCTCTAGTTTCACACTCCATTTGTCAGAGAAAAATTAATAAGAAATAGGTTTTGAAATGTTGCCAGCTTTTTAGGTTTCCAGGAAGTTATTGTTCGACTTCAACTTTTTGCAGAAACTAGAAAAATATATATATAAAAAAAAACATCAAGTGCAGGAATGGGAAAAGAAAGCCCGCCTGTTTTCTGCAACTGATGTCGGCACTTCTGGGCTGCCGGAGACATTGTTGCCGGCAAACAAAACGAAACTTTAATAAAAGCACTCGGACCAGGACTCCTCGTCCCATTGAACTCCAGCTCCGGCTTTGTGGCCCAGGAATATAGAAAAAAACGTGGAGTAATAAAAGAAAAAGGGTAGCGGTACAACAATGACAATGTCGTGGGCTAAAAAGCATTCGATAGCCTTAGGGCCACGGAATGCAAATGCACATCAAATGCGAATGAGGTGGCTTATGGGTGGGTGGATGGGTCGTCCTTACGGCTCCAACTAGTATGTGCTTAGTCGACAGTAATTGCAAGAGGCACCCGCAAAACACAAAGCAGCCAGTCGTGCCGGGGATGTGCCCTGGTCAGGGACTGAGTCTAGTATTCAATCCCCACAGGAACAAGAAAGTATCGAAGAGGTGCGCCCGAGAGCAGTTCAATGCACGTGGGCACTGAAAAGAATATCTTCAAGTTTTTATAAAATTAAAAAATATATATAGATAACTAGCTGCCTAAATCTAGTACATTTCTATTAAAGTAATTATATAAAAAAAATATTATTTTTAAAACTTCAACTCTTTGTTTAACAGTGTCCTTTGGAAGAGGATCTTTCCACTGGGAAAAAAGGAGGATTAAGGACCTCTGCGCCAGACCCAGTTAAATCGAGCAAGACAAACGCGGATACGGATGCGAATCGGTCCTGTAGCGGAGGCAGAGTCGAGTGATGGCCACTCCATTTTGATGGTGGTGCAGCACTTGAAACAAAAGCCGAGGCGGGTCGACCAGGCCAATTGTATTTGTTGTGTTTGCTGTTGGTAAAACACACACACTCACACTATAACACTGCCAGCGTAATAAAGAAATATGGCAAGACGAAGGAAGAAGGCGGCAACTGGGAACTGGACGGGCCATAAACCTTTCAGCCATTTGAACCACTTCCACTTCCAGCCTTCAAACGCTCCCGCCATTAGCAAAAATACTCGGTTCCTGTAGCAGGGCTGGGCTGGGCCAACTCAAAAATAAACATGGCGCAACAAAGTAGAGCACAAAAGCGGCCAAAACAAAGGGCCAAAAGCCGAAATGAATAGTCCAAACAAAGAAATACACATGTAGTCTGGTATTTAGACACGATTTTTAAATACCCTGAAGTATATATTGGTTTATTGTTAAGCTATTATTCTAAAAAAACTATATAAATATTATATCGTTTATAAATGTATAAAATCAACCCATATATGTATATAGTATGCTTTAAGCTATCTGCAAGATACTTATAATTGTTGCTATATTTATTGCCTTTTTCATAAAAAATCAATAATTCACAATGATAACAGGTATTAAATATTAATATCTCAATTATTAATTGCCACTAATAGACTTATAAAGTATAATTATGCAATTAAAAATGCAATAACTCAATTCTTTAAACTTTTACATTTCATTCCTTGTCTTTCATTCCTCCTGTCTTTTTAATTAATTAATTATTTCAGCTTCGGCTGAAATCTTTTGGTTCGTTGGCCCCAAAAGTGCCAAGCCACTCCACAGGATACCCTGGCAGGGAAGACGGGCAAGTTTGCTTGTTAGCCTGGCCATAAAGTGGTCGGGATTAATGGCAAAATGGCGTCAGTTTGTTTTCTGATTTTTTTGTTGGTTTTTTTTAGTTTATTTTGACTTTTTGCTTGTTGCGCTTGCTTTGGTTGCATACAAAGCAGTCCGAAAAAAGAGGAGCGGCTAGGGAAAAGACACTCGGGCACATCCTGTAGCCAAAAATAAAGGACAGCCTTGTGGGTTTGTGTGTATTGCGTATGCGACACGTGTGCAAATTGCGCCCCAAAGTGCCGTTTGTTACGTTTTACGTTACTTCCGGTCTGTCGCACGGTCGCTATAAATAAAAATGGCCATGCGGATTTTTTTTGTATGATATGACCATGTGATATTATGCATCCACCCATCATGCCTCAACCCATGGCACCTTTGTGGCGATGCAGCTGCAGCATTTGTGCAGCTTTTGTGCAAAAGCTCTTAGTGGGGAATCCAGAATTATTAATTTTGTCCATATGCAAGGCAAATTGAAGGTCATTTGGATGGGTTGCAAGTAAGTAAGAGAAGGGTTGTTGGGGGGAGGAGGCTGTTGGGCCAATCTGCACATTCGATTGCCAACTAAAGCAATCAGAGCCGAACCGAGAGCCCTTTGGAGACCCATTTGGAAGTAATCCCTGACCAGGCCAGCCATTCAGCCAACCAAGGCCACTGGAGGGTGGTGGGTGGCTGGTAATCAACAGAACGAAACGGAGTGGGTCGGGGCAGGGGTGGTGCTGGTGGTCAGGTACGCACTAAACATGAACATTTTTTTTGCAGGTGTCACGTTTTATTTTTAGCACAACTCGGACTAGTTGGGGCTGTGATCTTCCAGCCCATAAGCAGGCTATATGCGCCCGGGCAGGACTTTAATATTTAATGCCCACAATCAGACTAAATAATTCAGGGACATGTGTAGCAGGAAGAGGAGTACAATCAGGAGGCCCGGAGTTGGTGTTTGCTTTCGGTTTTTGTGTCTGGCGCAGGGCAATTAACTTGTTTAAGCCACAAGGTAAACATGACAAACACATTTGTCATCCAGAGTCAGAGCTAGAGTCGGTGTCGGCAGCGTCAATGTCAACGGATGGGCTGTTGGTTGGGTGGTTGGATGAGGTGTGTGGAGCTAACAAACGGCTCGGAGCATACAGGATACAGGATGTGTCTACATCAATGCAAAACAAACAACACGAAATTTACAGATCCATACCTAGAGCAGGTCTATCGAGCGAGGAATATCCTTCGACGGTGGCCGTTGTTTGGGCGCCAAACGTAGAATCTATATCTCACAGATGGAAATTAGTTTTCAATCAGTTTTCACTTTATTCGTTCACTTTCGGCACTGGGAGACACAAAACAGCGGCGGTTGTGGGGGGGAAAAACAAATTGGAAAACAAACGACGTCCAAAACAATGGGTTTTCATGCGATTCAAAATTATTTTTCTCGGTCTACAGCATAAGCGCGAACAAAATGCGTCCATCAAGCACGAAGGATAAACTCTTTCTGATTGAAAAAGGACACGAGTGGCAACCAACTCGGCAGCTGACCAGAATCGCAGAGAGAAAGCTCCCAAAAAGGAAGCTTTTCCACAGAGAGAAAGTTGGGGAGCATTTCATCTCAGCCTGTGTCAGAATTTTTGCAGTGAAATTCCAGTAAGAAACTGCACAAGGATAAGAGAGTGCCAAGAGAGCTCGAGAGATTGCCGGTGGAAGGAGACTGCTACCATTTCCACCCCAAACCACCCCCCAACGATGGAAAACTCCACAGCAGCAGCAGCAGCAGCATCCTGTCATGTCAATATAAACAACCATTTGGGATCTGTTTCTAGCGCTCAGCTTTAGAGTATGAGTGCGCTCTATATGCTAGATAAACAAAATATTAGGGGTGTATAATGAATGCTTGAGGGTTTTTTGGAAGTTGCCCGCTGCTCTACTTGGGGAAATGTTCTTCAGATTCAAATTCCGCACACCGACTATTAAATATTCTACATACGAAATCTTTAATTTGAACACAGAAATTCAACACAAAAAGTTTAAACAATATACCGAATAAATTCAAAAATAATTAAACTGAAAATAATTAAATAAATATTAATCTAGGATTTGATGTGCAGATCAATAATTTCATTGCCCTCCATATCCTGATTTATGGGTGTATCGTCAGGATCCAAGAGTTCGCCATCAAAACTGCAAAGGGAATATTTATAAACTCGATTTCAAATCCGGACGTTCAGTACCTACAACAGCGATATGAGTCGCGCCGAAAGGTTGAGCTCCTCGGCGCACTTGATGTACAATATTTTGAATGAATCTGTTTTTTTCATGACCATCACGATAGGATGCTTCCACTTATTCGACTGCACTTTAACTTGGAATTTTCTTGGTTTCTTAATTAGCTCTTGGTGATTATTCTTATTTATCGAGCCAGTCTCTATGCAGTTGTTGTTCGTTTTGTTGGCATGCCCAGCTGAGAATATATTAAATTTTACATCAAATATACAAATTTAGCTTGCTGAAACTCACTGAGTGTATGGAAGCTTTCAAGACCAATACTATGAGGTGTATCATTGGGTTCAATGATTTGGTAATACTTGTCTATCAACACTTCCTCGACAGCTACATTATTGCGCTTGGCCACCTCCTCAAACATGTGCTGGAACTTCTGATGCCGCCGCAATTTATAGATCTGTATCTCGCCCATCCTACAAAAAGTTAAGATTTTCCAGTTACTAACTTTCAATTTTTAAGATCTTATGTTGCATACCAAGAAACAGCTACTTCCTTTGTGGGATTGTCATCTTCAAATGGATTCGAATCGTCTTTGGGCACAGCGGCTGGTCCTTCATCATCCGAATCTAGATTAACCTGAAAGGAATAACAATATTCATTCAGTTATGTTGGGAAAGTAGGAAAGTATACTTACAAATCCCTCCACCCTAGGCACCACCGCTGACACTAGATCTACGCTGCCCACCACTTGGGAACGCGCTGCCATTTCAGCCAATTGCTCACGTCGGCTGTTATGAACCACGATCTGATAGTAAAAGATATAATTTTAGTGTATATTAAGTACATAAATAAAAATAAATTACCGGCCCAATAATATGTAATGCAGAGGCAGGTATCGGCTCTTCACATGCAGTCGTCGACTGTGGGGCTCTTTTACTGGCCCTAGGGGCTCTTTTTTTGGGCTTATCTGAAGCAGTTGAATTGGTAATGGGCTCCACTATGGCAGGCTGAGGATTTGTCTTGCCCAATGAGGAGCGTGTGCGTCTAGCTATTGGCCCAACGATATCTGGTATTTCCGGACTTTGCTCAATCCCAACTTTCTTCTTCCCCCGGGTTTTCCTGGGGGGATTTCCTGCCGCTTTTTCATTTTCCTGTGTGCTCTCCATTTCCAACAATAACTGTGACACTGGCGACAGGCTGCGTGGAGGAGTCTCATTCTGGACCGGCTCTGGTGGAAGAGTGAGCGGTTCCGGTTCCGGTAGCGGCTTTGTCTTTTTCTGTCGCCCAGCCTTTTTTCCTTTTGTTTTAATGGTGGAGTCGCCCAAGAAATCATAGTCGATCTCCGAAGCGATGGAATCATTAAATAAATTGGAGGATTCCTTTGGCAAAGCTTAAATGGAAGAGATTTATTAACAAAAACAGCGCTCCTTGGTTCCTATTAAGACTTACCTTTTGGTGGTGCCCGTCTGCGCGCTGCACTGAAAATATCGCAATCATCGTCGGACATTTCAAGAGTTTTTAAAAATGGAGCTAAATGTAAATTTAAATAATTAATCTAGCTTATGTCAGCTAAAAAATTTAAGCGCCATGTAAAAGGACGCAAAGCCTGAGAACATCTGTTTCAAAATGCTTCGGAAATGTTTGCTACCTGGGCACACTATTTCAGCTGTCAGCTGTTGACCTTCCAGTGTTGGCAAACGCCACGCAGTCAAAAGCAATTCATTTAGCTGCCATTGCTGGCAAGAAAAAATTGAAATTAGATGATAAACAAGCGTTGAAAGCAAAAAAAAGGAAATAAGCCTCGCGACTGGAGGCAACCTCTTGAACTTGTGTGTGTGTGTGCATGGGATGAAGCCCTGTTTTGTGTGAAAGTGCGTGTGTGTGTGTTTACCCGGGGACGTGCGAGTAATAAACTGGAAAAGTCAACGAGGCTGCTTGCGTGCCATTTTTTTCCTCACTTTCGGGTCAACTGGCCATCTAATTTGCAAGAAAGGTTTGGCATCTACGTACCCGCACGCACCAGCAATGTCCTCCTCCACCAACAGTCTTGTGGATGTTGTGCGCCATTACCAGCGCAGCATCGAAAAGCATGGCGAGGACGAAAAACGGGTGAGTGTAATTCACCCTCACCACGTCCACCCCTTCGTTACCCCTGCGTCCTGTCTGCCAAGTCCCCCAATTCAAATGAAACTTAAGCCATTCTGCGAAATTCCCCAAGGTCACCAGTGTGTATCCCATGCCGTTGCACCTGCCTGCAGTTAATCACATCTCCTAATCTCGGTCTACCTGTTTTCGTTTTACCATTCACACAGCTGTTGCACTGCGTTACCAAACTGTTCAATCTGCCGATCAAATTCGAGCACTTGCAGGAGACCGGCATTGGGAAAACCGTGAACTCCCTGCGGAAAATCAACGGTGAGGTTGGTGTTGCGGCCAAAACTCTAGTCACCAAATGGAAAGCCATGGTGGTGGCTGTGGAGGAACCAACTCCAGAACCAGCCACCGAAGAGGAATTAGCCAAGTCTAACGGACGTCGTCACAGCGACGAGGATCCAGAGCAGGAGAACAAGGGCAGCAACTCGTCTATTGGCGAAGATGCCAATGGCAGCACACATCGGAAGTCCAAGGAGGATAGCTCCAAGAGTTCCAAGCGCGAGAAGAGCAAGAGTCACTCCAAAAGCAAGTCTGGAGACGAGAACAAGCACAAGCACAAGAGTAGCCGGCATGAAAAGAAGGACAAGGACAAGAGCAAGGAAGCAAAGGAGTCGAAAGAGCCCAAGGAGACAAAAGAGCCAAAGACACACAGCGAAAAGAAATCAAACGGCGAGCACAAATCCAAGGATTCAAGCAAATCCAGCAGTAGCAACAGTGGTCACAAGAGCAGCAAATCTGAGGGCCACAAAGGCGAGCATAGCAAGTCCAAGCATGATAAGGTAAGTAGTCCCATCATAAGGTAGTAGTAATCCCATCACTTTGTTTTCGTTTAGGACAAGTCATCCAAAGAGTCATCCAAGCATAGCAAACATAAGTCATCATCTTCAAAGTCAGGCAAGCGTTCCCACAGTCCGACGCGCACCGAGGACGATACGCAAAAGGCCAAGATACCAAAAATCAAAGCCAAATCCGAGGAAGACTCTGCCGATGGCTTCGATTCCAGCATGGGGGCCAACTTTGACGACGTACTCGGCATGCTAAACGTGCCCATAAGCAGCAAGAAAAGCAGTCACAGCAGTAGCAAGACTAAGTTGGCCCCGAAAACGACGCCAGCGCCAGCCTCATCTTCTACCTCAAGCACCCCTCAAGCATCAGCAACCTTGGGAACCACCCCTACCATCTCAAAGCCAACTTCCACCAAAGTATTAACAGCAGTATTCTTTAAAAGCAACTAAAATTAAATTTGAATTCCATTTAGAAACCTGAGCTTCTGGCTCCCACAGCCAAACTAGAGCCCTTGGATCCTAGCATTGCCCTGGAATTGCCCACCATTTCCAACAACTACAAGCCCATGCCCCTGAATCAAACAGTAATGGATGTGGTATTCAACCAGGGTGGATCTCAGAGGCCACAGCCCTCGCGGTACTTCAATGAATCCGAAGCGCTGGCTCAGGGAATCTCTTCCAAAACGATGCGGTATTATTTCATCACTAATCACTCCACTAGTATATAACTATAAATAATGATTTATCCTTTAGTACCAAGATCTATTCAGGTGTCAGAACCGGACAAATTCTGCAGGTGCCCAGTCTTTTCAATCTGTGCATACGTGTTCTTCAAAAGAACATTGATGGTAAGATCTATTCGGGGACTGCAATATCAGAATTATACAAATATAAGTTAAAATATTACCAACAAAAGTTTTTTTTGATTTGTTAAAACGTAAGTTCCATAAGTATATCCATTAAAAAATGTATTCCATACTCTCCAAATTATGAGAATGGTTATTGTAGAAGTAACGTTATGCCTATTTATCCCAGGACTGGAGTTCACGGGTGGTGTGCCCTTTGATTTGCTCCGACCGGTTCTGGAACGCGCCACGCCCCAGCAACTGCTCAATTTCGAGGAGTACAATCCGTATTTGATGGACGACAGCGATGTCCTGTGGAAACAGCACGTCCAGCGACACTGTCGCAGCCAGCAGCGCGAGGAGATGGAAACGTGGCGCGAAATGTTCCTGGTAGGGATATCCATATCCCACTGACACATAAACCCCCCAAACTAAGCAAAGGTCTATATAATCCTCTTGTAGCGCTGCCAGGAAGAGAAGGAGCGCAAGCTCAGCAGCCTGGCCGAAAGCATCAAGGCCTCTCAGAAGATTAGCGAGGCTCCGGTGCGAAAGACCCAGCTGGCTTTTGTAGACTCAATGGTCAAACCGCCGCGCAGTGTCCAGCGAAAGCAGGAGCAGTACGGCACAAGGGGCAAGCTGATTGCCACTCCGGCCGCCCGAGTGGCCTCGCTCTCCAGTGTCACTCCCAATGCCGCCAAGGTGGGAGATGCTCGGCTGAGGGTCCTGGCCGCTGCCCGAGACACAGCGCAAGTCGGTGAGTTAAAGGGAGGATGCAGTTCATCCGAAAAACTAGACCAAATTAGGAAAACTCTTTTTTAACTAACTCATTCCTAACCCCTACCTTTCTTTAACAGCTGCCGCCCCAATGCGATCCAAAAAGGCACCTTTGATGGCCAAGACCCTGCAGTTTATGCGAGGAAGACACAAACGATAGGAATGCCCCTCTATGGTGACAATGTTGAGATGCTCATTTACTCGTTATAGCTACAATCTTATACTCAATTTATTCATCGCCAACAACAGGAGCACCCACTCCCATTGCGTACTACAATTTATTTATTATTTATTGTGTCTCCTATACAGAATCATTATGAAACCTATAGTATAGTTAGTTTTAAGTGGAAAGTAAGTACGTTATTGTTTGATCGGAAAACTCATCATAGCTCAGACAATATCGTTTAGGAACACTTTCAATAATTCAGGTTTAAAGTTGCATCCTGTTTGTATACCGTATTCGAGTAGATTCAAGTAGCATGTATGCGGATCAGGCTCCATCTATCTTATTATATTAATTTAGTCTAAGTATCATGTTTGTCATTGTCCCAGAGGGCTGTGTGACTGTCCAAAATTTGTTTAAATTGTATATAACTCTGTGACGAATATAAGCCCAAAAATCGAAATATTGAAATTGTAAAATTATTCGAGTGCAGTTGCATCTTTGCAGTCTTTAAACGCATCGCCACATTTTTTAATAGAGATTATTGAAACCTTTTTAGATTAAAATTTTCGCATATTTTAGGTTTACAAGGGACATTAAATTTCTTTAGGCAACAAAAACGGCTCTTGTTGAATTATTTTAGTTTTACTTTATGTATGTACTTCATGTTTTGTTGTAATTTTTTGATTGATTATTTGTGAATTTTAGTTTATTGAACATTTAGGATCATGTTTTTATATCTCTTTTTTATCAGATTTTAATTTAGAAATTTACAAATTATTTTTGACGATGCGCTAGTAGACTATATACTGAAATCAAATAATTTTATTCCACTATTAAGCTATCGGAAACAAAGAAGCTCGTGTCTTGGAAAGCAGATCTTGTTGTTGGAAACATCACGGATTGTTATAGAAATGATGGAATCAATTATTTATATATATAGCGGAAGAGAAAAGATAAGCAAAGACAAGTTGTTTCACACGATTGTAACAGTAATATTTTACAGACTTATTACAAATAAATTATTTTCAAACATAAACCATCTTCATGCAGTCTGCTTCTTCGGTAGCAGTTTCGGGTTTTCAGTTTAATTCCAAAACGATTCAGGTGCCGATGCAGTAGAGCGTCTTGCTGCGCCCGTAGAACACATTCACCAGACGCTGGCAGGAACTATTGAGAGTTAGCACACGATTCGTTGTAGTTGATGATGACGAGGAGGAGCTCCCAGCGCTGTTGCTTTCCCTTAATGTAGGAGTGAATATTACAAAATCTAAAATGGATGTGACGTACTTACCCCATTGGAGAGAGCTTCTTAATGTCCCACAACCGCAGACTGCCATCACTGCAGGCCGTGGCCAGGTGCTGGTTGTGCGCACTCCACGTGAGGGAACTAACGCTGGCTGTGTGGTCTTTGAGCTCAGCCAGCTGCGCTCCCGCGGCCAGGTCGAAGATGCGCACCTTTGTCTCCTCGCCAGCGGCGGCCAGCATTTTGCCATCCGGGCTGAAGGCCAGCTTAGTGACTGATTGCCGGCAATCCGCAAAAACGCGCATAAGTTTTCCGCTGGTGGCACACCACAGCCTCACTGAATGATCTGCCGATCCGGTGGCTATATAGTTGCCATTAGGATGAAAGGAAACGCACTAAAAGTAGATCGTGTCAGTCATCATCACAAATTGGAGCTAGTTGTGACTCACCTCCACGTCCTGCGTGTGTCCTGCGTAGATTATGAGCGCATGTTCTCTCTCCAGCGACCATAGGCGGGCACTTAAATCCTTGGATCCAGTTACCACATACTGACCTGTGGGACTCTCATCCAGGCACCAGATCGGGTAGTTGTGACTTCTGTAGATGGCGGCGCACTGAAGGTTATGCGCCCGCCAGCACCGCATGGTAGCGTCTTTGGATACACTGTACATAAGGGGGTAGTGGGCCGAGAAGCGCACATCGGTGACACCTCTCGTGTGTCCACGGAGTTGCAGGCCTCCATATTCGTTGCTTAAGGATTAGGAATAGATCGAAAGGATTAATATTTTAACAAAGGAAAGTTAACTTAAAATTAAACTTACTAGGAGTTGTCGTTATACTTGCAATGTCTCGCTCTGTTTCGTTCCTTTCGCTCCTCCTCAGAGCACTTTGTGTCCTGTTCCTCGTCGTCCTCCTCTTCCGTTTCCGTATCTGTGCAGTTATTCAATTCCCAGGGGCACTGCCTTTCGGGGTAGCGTCTGTAGAGACTCTTTCCCCGACAGCTTTGCTGATTCAGTTGCCACACCTGTACAGCGGAGTTATTAAAACCAGCCACCATGTGGCATTCGCCGGCGTCCAAATGCGCCGCGGACAGGCCCCGGGTACGTTCACATATTCTGAGAAATCGTGGAAGCTCCACTTGAGCTTTGAGTATGTGTGTGGTTGCAGATTTGAGGTTTTCCAGGCAGGCTTCTACATTAAGCTGGGATTTGCTAGTCGTAGGAGGTTCATCCGGGTTCACCTCTTGCTTGATTTCAGATTCCAGTTTTACGACCGACTCCTCAGCGGGTCGCTTTCGGTTGGACTTTTCACTACTGGACTTACTGGATTTGTGATCCTGCACCCGGGAGTGCACTATTAGCGGGGGAGCCACATGCACGACTTCCTCTTCGGCTTCTTCGCCATCCAGTTCGTCCGTTAGGCCCAGCAAGTGATCCTCGGTAAAGGTACGCTGCTCGTTCTCAACGATATGAACATGCAGCCAGGTGTATAGCAGGTTCATGATCAAGACATGGCCCCGCCGCTGGAGATACGAACAAATCCTATCTACCACCTGAGCCGAGGTATGCAGCTCGTACTTGGATGACCGGAAATGAGCCACCGTGTCATCGGCCTCGGCCGTTTCCAGCCTAGTGCAGCCACTCAGGATCTGTACCAGGCGCATAAAGTAGTCCAACTCTGTGTCGCCGGTGTCCTGAGCTTCCCGCGCAAATCGTATGTGTAGGGTATTCTCAGTGGCCGCTGTCGAGCAGCCATTGATTTTGGTGGGTGGGGTTGCGTCGTATAAATCCACAGGTGCCACTAGATGAGCATACTTGCGAAGCAGATCCACAGCTCCCCGTGGTTCACGAGCCTTCAGTAGGTCCAGATAAAAGTGACACAACATAGGTCCATAGAAACGCTTCATCTCCGAACGGAGTGACTCTGTTTGGGACTCAACAAACGCGGAAAAGCGTCCGAACTGCTGGTCCACCGTGTGCTGGTTGTTGGTAATGACCTGAACGTTGGAATACGTGAAGCTATTGCCTCCATGCAAATCCGAATCCAACATTTTGTCGACGGCAAACTGTTGTTTGTTTTGTAGCAGAAGAAAGTCGGAGCGGCGAAAACGTTCGTGGCTCTGTGTAAACATAATTTCGATATAGAAACAAGCCGGATAATTTATATATTTAATCACTTACCACGTAATTTTTCTGTTTTAACAGCAGGCCTACGGCGCAGCGTAACAAATCGTTTTTTGACGATGTCTTCGAGGTCTTGTTGCCTGCACTCGACTTACTGCTGGTGTTATTGCTGTAAACGGGCGACGCTGCTAGGGCGTGTGCATGGCTACTGCTGCTGCTGGCGCTGGGCAAGCTCATGGTTGCATCCGAATCCTTCTCCGTCTCCGTATCCTGATCCCGTCCAGCTATGCGTCCAATTTCAGTGCTGGGCAGCGCCGGCTGTTGAAAATTTCGCGCAGTGTGACCAGTCCGGCAGGGAATCACGACCAAATAGTGCTCGACCCGAACAGCTGATTGTCATTTGTTGTGTTCAGTGATGGCACCATCTGTTTTTTAAAGCTAACTTTAGAATAGCCGAATTTCTTATACTCTTTTTTATTTATTTAATATTGTTAAAAATCTTGGCGGTTGATATATTCACCCCTGACGTCTAAATTATATGGCTTAATGTATAAATGAGTATAGTTTATTTAACTCGATAATTGGTTACATCTTTAAGATTTATAACATAGCTTCCTATTCTCTGATATTTCAATAGTTATGATAATGAAGTTAACCCTTTTAAACTTTACCTCCAAAAATGGGGCATCACTGGGGAACTTCGCCCTTGATGTTGTTGATATCGTACCCGGACCGCGAACCGCAATTTCTTCTGTTGTCATTTCAGTTCGAGTTTCTGTCTGTTATAAAACGGTTCCTTTCACCAAGCACAAGTCATGGGCACCAATGCAAAGTTTATTAACGAATTCTGTGATATTATTGATTCCTATGGAGGGAGAGATAAGGTAATACAGCACTCCCCCACTCAGCAAGTACATTTCCATTAAATTCGCCGCACACCTGTTTTGTTTACGTTTTTTTCCAAACGAGTGTTTATCCAATTATGTTTGTTTTCCAAAATGCTTCGTGGCATTTTTGACATGCTCCATTGGGGGGCTCGTTTGGTATTTAAAAAGGCTGAAACCTAACCAACTGGTTTTCAGCATAGTTGTTGCACATTGGAGGTCTCGGCCGGAGCTTGAGGAAGTGTCTCAGTCGCGTGGACCTTGCCTTACTTCTTTCAGTGTTTTTGCAATGGCTTGGTTTTGCGTCTCTTATCAGTTTCCATTCGTCGGCGATTGACTCAAGATAATGTTAAATACTATAGCCGGCAAGCCGTTAACCCGCTGCCAGATAAAGCGGATAATACGCTACGAGCGAAAGGTACGTGTGCTCGTGCATCCCCCAGGAACACGCAATCCACCACTTACCAGTCCCATCTACTAACTAATTCATTGATGGCCAAGCAAACAAAATGCACTATTAATGGGAATAAACAAAGGGAGCCACCCAACACCTTCCCACTACTACCCTTCGGGTGCAGTGTATCAACAACCATTGAACGAGATGCTTGTGGCATTCGTAGTGTTCTTTTTATCGCTGATAGTATTTTATCTTTTTGTGACAAGCAAGCAATTTCACAAATTGCAGGGCTGAACTGGTGCCTCCGGATCCGGGTCAAGCCAAGGTAAACAACGAGATGTAATGCCAGCTCTCTCGATAAACTAAATATACAAAACACTTAAAAAAAATGTGCATCATGTGTGTGAAGAGGAATACTAACTAGCTAATAATATATCCCTGTATTTAACTAGGTGATGAAGGCACTTTGCTACAGCGCCAAACTGGTGGCTGGATACCATGCCAAGCGGAATCCAGATCTGGCCAAGCGATATGCCACCGCCAGCTCCAAAATTTCCGGAGCCCGGGCCACCCTGCGACTGATCGATGATATACCCATGATTCAGTATGCCTTGGAGTACGGATTGGGTGAAAACGAACCGGATCGCGTCATGGCTGTGTTGGGTGTGACGGCAAATATTGTGGATCTACTGTATTATCCCATTGAGAAGGTCTGCTGGCTGGCCGAGCACAAAATAGTAGATGTTAAGAATGCAGAGAGCTGGGACAACGTCAACTCGATATTCTGGGTGTTGTCAGTGTATCTGAATCTCATGAGGTAAATGCAAATACTATCTAACCATTCAGGTTTTTAATTAGAATCTATTTTTGACTTTCAGAACCATGAGGAACTTTTCCCTAAATCAAGATAAACTAAATCGTACCAGTAACATAAGCGAGTGAGTCCTTGATATACTAGTCATTTGAGTACTGGATTAACATCTCCTTTAAATTACAGCCTCGAAGCCAAAACCTTGGCCAAACATCGCCTGGAGATGATCTCAATTGTTCGCATCTCTCTCGACTTTGTACACGCTGTCAGTACTCTCCCAAAAGGCTACCTCTGGGGCGGAAAACTCTCCACCTTTCAAGTGGGAGCCATTGGAACACTATCCGCCGGATTGGGCATCTACCAGATCTTTGCCAAGAGAAGACTGAACAAGTAGCAGAAATAGTCGCCGTGTTGTCATTGTATCACTCGTCCTATTTGTTGATCGCAATATTAAGCTAGTCGGTAATTGTTTTTTGTATGAAGAAGAATTTTGGATGGAAATCACAGGTGTTTTTAGCACGTAAGATAAGAAAATGTCACTAAATACACATGGAAAAAATGAAAAGACTGGTGTAACTTTTTGGTCTGTGTGTCCTTTATTATCTGTTAGTTTTATTTTGTTCAGTTTAGGTTCCGATACATAAGTATATGCTTTCTGGTTGCTCATCGTAGCTAGCAAAGTGTTTAACTTAGTGTACAGGCTCCCGCTCCTATTTATTAATGTATATATTGTCGGCCTCTGGCGAGGGTTCATTACCAGAAATATTATTTAATGTTTTTTGTTGGTTTTTCTCTCATACGATTTGTCGGTTTTTAGCAGTCATTGTATACAATGTGGTTTCTTAGGATTATTTTTGCTTTAAAATATTCATATGTCTGATATTATACTTGTGTTATGAAGGGTTCTCCTCTTTTGAATAATTGGATTCCTAGATTATCGATCGGGACCTGACTTGTCTGGTTACTGGTTAAAAATAACATTTGTTAGTAAATATATTTTGTCATTGTACATTATTTTATTCACCCCGCAAGCGCAAAAATATTAACAGATACTAGTTTTATATCTTTTCGGTTAAGTTTTGCTTCTTTCGGTAAGCTCTTTAGATGTTCGAAATACGAATGATGTATAGCGCCTATATGTTTGCTGTTTATGTACGGGGCTCTTTAAAATTCTCGTTATTTTGATATAGATATTTTTGGTTTTGGGATTTATTAATTTTCAATAATATACCTAGCTACAGGAGTTAATGCTTTTATTATCGTGGTTTATGGTAATAGTATGTTTTATGTTGTATACTCATTCTCAGCCACTCCATTACGCATTCGATTAATGTCGCTCATTTACAAAAAAAAAGCTTCAAAAAGTTCCCAAAAAATTGTTCATGCATTCAAAATATGTTCAACTTTGTTCCATTTGCTTTATAATTAATTGTGTGTGAATGTTTAACTGTGAGTCTCCATTTTACTTGTTTTATAACCATAATGCAATTTGAACTCTTGCTCATAACAATTTATATTTATTATATTTTTTAAATAGGTATATATATATATATATATCTTTATTTTATTGGTTTATATTGCGTGTCTAGTGTGTCATAAGGTTTTAGTAGTCATCTATATGATATCTAGTAGACTTCATCCATGAGATCATAGTTTTTAAGACTCCCATGGCATGAAGTCCTATCATTATTAGATGTCACTAAAAAATAGACACACCATACTAGGTAAGTACGTACGAATGTATTTCTTGCTTTTATTATGTGTATATATATTTTATACTTATCGGAAGCTATTTAAAATGGCACTGCAGTAATTTTTGTTTATATTCCTATATAAGGTGGGAAAATCAATTAGTTGGGGCACCCGAAACTTTCATTTTGACCGGTTTTTTAGGGTGCCCCCTACTAAATATTCTTCTAAACATTCCTCCTTTCTATATCTCTGCTATAACAGTATACGAATCGGGGGGCCTAAACTCAATCGGATAATTCATATAGTCCGCATTTAGTTGCCCCGCAAGTAATTATTAAAATATATGTATGTATGTATGTATATAGTATATGTATGTTGGTATTTGATTATTGCGTTAAAAGCTTAGTATTCCGTTCTGAATTAATTAATTTAATTAATTATATAGATATATTCCGTGGTGTATATATATATAGGTTGTATAATAGTCTTTTTAAAAACCGTTCTTATTGCATTCTTATCCTTATAGCTAACGCTTACGTTTAACTTTAACACATTTGCCGAGCAAATATTGTTGGTTTAAAATTCAATTTGCAAAGTTTTTTGCTTAATGTTCCCCCAAAATGTGTCTCACATGTTCGCTTGTGTCTTTGAATACAGTTGACAGTTCAATCAGGATAATAATCAGGATTATTAATGTTAGGATAGTGTTTAGAGTACAGTATTAGAGTTAGTTAATGCGTGGTAAAGATACTTGGCATAAGTAAAGATATTCCTTCTATCTGGGATTTTCACCTTAGCAGCTGAGTTTAAAAATAATTTATTCTGTATAGTGTGTATAGAATGGCTTAAAAGTACAAATTTATAGATAAGCAGATGACTTGGTGTCGGTAAAATATGTATGTATATAATTTTTTTTAGTTTAGTATATGTATTTTTGGATTGTAAGTTATGTTTTCTCAGTTTTTTGCCTAATTACGCTTTGCATATATCCTTAATTTTCATGTTTTTATGTTGCTAAAATTTAATATTATCGGTTTTGCGTGGGAAGCGTTCGATTTTGGTTCCTTTACATTTCGTTTAAACTTTAATTTGTATTTTTTTCGTTTTTTTTTTGTTATCTCTGATACTTTTTATGAAGTATCCTCAAACTCGTCTCATTTCTTAGGTTATTTTTTGATAGAAAATAAAAAAGTCTCATTCTAAATAAGAGTTGAAAAGCCAGTGAGTGGAAAAAGTTTAAAACGGTTTAAGGTTTTTCTTTTAATTTAAAATTCACTTTCTGTTAGTTGGTTTAGCTTGTAAAAGCGTTTAAAAACTTTAAAGTAAAATTGAGTAACATACGATCGTTATTAAAGTCGCCAATTGCTTATATGCCGAAATAGCCTTAAAAAGTTCCATTTAAAAGTTTCCATTTTGACCGTCGATTAATAAAGATATTGGTAAATTTTATAGTTATTTAAAATTTGTTTTTTTTTTTTTTTGTTTGTAGAATATGTAGTGTATGCCAGTGTGTATATTTGTGTGCTAGTGTGTAGGTATATTAATGTATTCGAAAGTGATCATGATTTTCTGCGAGCTAAAAACACTTTGTATCCAATAGATCTCAAATGCTCGACTGCATTTCTCCAGACGTAAAAATCCACTTGAAAATTAAGTCTAAAAAATTAATTTAAAACTGATGTCTGTATCCTTCCAATGAGTAAAGTAATCTTGGGTATTTTTTTTGGAGCAATTATGTTTTTGTTTCCCTATCAAGGTAAGTCTTACGATTACTAATAATTCAGCTAAAGCACCATTTTATCTTGTGTGTATATGTACAAGTTTTTCTAGCTTAGGTTTTCTGTTTTAAAATATATATAATATATCATTACCTCGTGATATCAATTTACAATGTGTGATGTATCGGTTTTTTCGATTTTTCATTTTTAAATTGCATTAAAAGTAGTCAATAAGCTTTTTGATTTTTTTTTTGTTTGGCTTTAAAGCGATTAAGTGGGTTGCTTGGGATCTCCTATCTCTCCGCATCGAAGGCATTATGTTTGTGAGTGTATATAGCTAGGTAATCGTATATCGTTAATGGTTAGTAACAATGCATTCATAGGGTCTGGGATGTTATTGCTACTTATACACCGACCAGGGAAGGATCGAGGATCCTAGCTTCTGGCCAAAGGAAACTAAGCTTTGGTAGGCGCTACAACAGAAACCGTTACACTAAGAGGCATCCATGTTTATCCTAGACCCGCAAAATCCCTCCTCTTCCAGTAGTGCTCATTAAAAATTGCTTATCCTCGCAAATCTATTATTTAAAAACTAAACAAATTCAACTAGTCTGAAATACGTCATTTCGTATAATTACTGGTTTCTCTATTTGTTTTTCTTTCGAAGACTACCATAAAATCCCTGTAGGTTCATCATAATGCGTCATAATGTGTGTTTTAATGAGTGTGAGTGGGCGTGGTATGCGGCATAATGCTAAAAACAATTAATGTCTAGACTCTAGAGTAGTAACCTGCGTTAAAATGACACATTACACCCGATCGATCACCGGAGTTGACCAGCGCGATAGGTTTCGTTAAGTCTGAACTACTCGATTAAACTGCCTTTCTGTCTTTGGAGTGTTTCTTCAGATGTTTTGGTAAAGTAATTTGATTGTTTTTATGCTTAAATTCGTTTGAATTTAACGTTTGATATTTAGACTAAGGTTTCTTAACATTCGTTTCTTAAGAGTTAACAATCAGCAAGGGAAGCGCAAGGTTAGGGTGTTGGATTCGGTTAAGCTTGGATTAATTTTGATGGTTGCCAAATTATATGTAGGCGATGAATTCAAAAGCGATTTGATTTGCGGTATATATTTTATAGTTTTTCTTTAGTTTTGGAATAGGTGTTAGATTCGATTTAAGCTTTAGGTTATTACCATTTCATTCATGGTATTCGTGGTACAAAATGAATAGCTTTCAATTAAATTATAGAGTCTGATAGCCTGGTAGAGTACAATATGTAATATCTTGTTGGTACATAAATGTGCGTGACTTTCTCTAGATTGTTAAGCGTTGAGATCCTTTCTCAAAAAAACATGAAAAAAATAATGCGAGACATAAATTATATCTTAGCCTTGAGCTCTCTAAAACTGAAACAGCCAATAAAGCTAAAGAAAGAATGGTTTCTTAAAACAAAGTTCAACAATCAATCATTCGTGGCTCTTATGTTAAACAAGGATAGGCTTAAAAACTAGTTTCAAAAACAAAAACTAAACAAAAAAAAATAATATAGAGAAAATAAAGTTCATAACAATTCAATGAGTGACAAAAAAATAATGAAAGGGCGACTGTTAAGAGTAAACGAATTGACAATTTTTAAAAATGTCTTAAAAATTGAAATTCCATATGTGACAAACGCTTTGCGGACAATCCAAAAAAATTGTAATTACTCGCGACTGCCCCGCGGGGCATGGCTATGTAAAAAGAAACCATATAAAATTTCTCAGTAATAGCGCAAAAACATAACAAAAAATAATAATGGTAATCCTAACCTGACCTGCTCCTGCGCAGTTTCATTCGCTTAAAATTAGACATATACAATTAGGAAGTAGTATAGGCTGCTTTCTTAGCAGAAACTTAATGGTAACCTAGTTAGTTAGGTGTGAGGAATGTGGGATGCGTGGTTAAATAAATCTGCCCAGTTCGTCCATCTGTCGTTTGAGCATTCGAATGCCAGCTCCAAATGCTGATATGTTGTATGATTATCGAAAAATAGTGTGTGGAATGTGTTGTATATGTGAGGGGGTCCTTCTTCGTGTTCATGAGACAAAAACCAATGTGTTCCTTAAAGGAAATCCAAAGTGTAAGCTTCATATCGTACTGGTCTAATATACACATCAATAAAATTCTGGTGACAATGATGATGAAGATGATACTGAGCCTGGATCTGCATCGGCTCCATGATTACATCTACAAATGCTTCGGGGCCCCGTTTCTTCGGCTTTTCCCTAAAGCCCGAAATTCCTCACCTCGTTCAGGGTGCGGAAACATCCTTGGAAACGGTGGCGGATAAAAAGCCGCAACAGTCTAGATCGGTTGATGGTGATGGAGCTGCTGTTGCAACTGTTGCTGCTGCTGCTGTTGTTGCTGCTGTTGCTGCTGAAAATTGTACAGGGATGCAGCAGTTGCATTTGCAGCTCCCGAGTTTCCCATTAGATTCAAATGATTGTGGGGCTGCGACTGCTGTAGCGGCTGCTGTTGCTGCTGATTGGCATGTTGATGGAGCTGATGGTGCTGTGGTTTTTGTTGGTGATGGTGCTGGTTTTGAATCTGGTGATTGTTCTGGTGCTGGTGTTGAGGGATCTTATTTTCGCCACTTACACTGCGAGGGTACGACGGCAGCGATACGGTTGACTGGGATGGACCGATGCCCACCAGGCTCTGCGACTTGGAGTTGCGGGTCAAGGGCTTGTGATTCTTGACGATGTCACAGCTATGCTGCCATTGCCAGCAGCTGCGACAAAAGTATCTGAAAAGCAAAGGTGACGTAACATCCATATACTCATTTCCAATCGAATATTCTTACCGGAAACACGATAGCTCCCGGCAGTAGTAGGGACCGTGTTGAACGCCACAAATTGAGCAGAGGGCATCTTCCAGGTATGGGTCCACCTGCACCTTCTTGGTGAACTTTGTGGTTCGAATTTCAATGAAGGCGGCCGAGACGGCCTTCATGTACGAGCGAAAGTTGCTGAAAGTTACTCGACCCGACCCGATTGGATACTTGTACTTGTCCGTGTCTATTCCGGCGTACAGTACGCCATCGAACAAATCGTCCATTATCTTGCCCAGGCCTTCGGCAGTCAGTTTGCCATGAAGGGCACCCACAAAGACCGTTTTGGTTGGGTCCAGTTTCTGCGAGCTGGAACGGACAAAATTTGAATCCGCTATTATCCAGGGAATGACCTCCACCTGGATTAACGTGAGACATGTTAGAAAATGATGACAATGAACTAGACACCAGACTTACATCCTTTGACTTGATGCGACGCGATGAGATTTTAAAGAAGTAGTTGCTACCGCTATGAGAATCATCCACCTGGACAACGCAGGCCGAGAGCAGAGCCTTAACCTGCTTGTCGGATTCAAAAATGATGTACACATAGCCTTTGGGCTGCGCTGCCTGCTGCTCTTTGCCGGGCCACTCCACCCTGTCAATGGTGATTGGGTTTAGAATCGGTACATACTATAGATTCTATTGGCTACTCACTTAATGGAACCGAACGGCTTAAAGATCTGGATGAGCGACTGCTCACTAATGTCCCACGGTATGCCGCCTAGGAAGACCTTGGGAGAGTAGTTGAGCATGCGGTGTGAACGCGGCGGCAGCTGCCCGCTCCAAGTGCAGGTTGCATCGCACAGGGCCGCCGAGCTCCTGTGAAACTTGGCGACGCGATCCAGATGCCCGTCGTTTGTGGTCCCGCCAACGCCGCCGGCCATTTCGTTGGTCAAGCCCAGCCCGTTGGCTGTTCCGCCCATACCCACGCCCATCAAGTTGCTCAGATTGTTGCCCGAAACATTGCCGATGGCACCGCCGGCATAGCTCTGCAAGAGTTGGTTAAGCAGCGGCATTTGCTGCGTCTGTGCCTGCAGCAGCTTCAAGGTGTTAATGCGCTGCAGATTCTGCAGCTTGGCCAGCTCCATATCAACGCTGGCAAAGTTCTCCAGGTTGACCTGACTGAGGCCGCCATCATTGCCTCCGACCGCCGAGCCTAATCCCACGCCGTTGTTGGGCTCAAAGTTCATTTGTTGGCCACCTGCATTGGAGGTCAGCTGCTGCTCGAAATTCCGTTGCATATTGGCGTATTGATGCTGTAGCTGTTGTTGTTGCTGCTGCTGCTGCTGAAGATGGTGGTGGTGTTGCTGCTGCTGCTGCTGTTGTGGCACTTGTTGCTGCTGGCGGTGATGTGGCTGCTGCATCGAGTTAATCTTGTTACCATTCACGGAAAGCAGATTCTAAAAAAAAAAATCATGATTGTGTATTGAATTCAAGCTGAGTAGATTCCAGTGGCTTACAATCATGTCCAGCAAGTTGGGCTCGTTGATCGACTGGCTGCTGTTCTGGCTCTCTGGCGAGTTGGAACGCGTTGAGGCGTTCGCCAGACTCAATCCCAGACCGCTGCCATTGGAATTGCCCAGGCTGGTGTATCCTTGCTGCTGCTGCTGTGTAGTCTGCTGCTGCTGAGGCTGCTGGTGGTATAGCATCGAGTTCATAGAGTCCAGGGAGAGGCCATTGCCGCTGGACGAGTTGCTGCTGTCGCTGTAAGGTTGCAAGTAGACCACGATTGCCCCACGATTAGTATTTACAACCATAATTAATAGATTAAAACGTGCTAGTTTGTATTACCTGACTAAAGGTGAACTGTGAAAGGAGCGATTGTAAATAGATGTAGGCGTACTTGGCGATAAAGGTGCAGAGCAATCGAAGCTGATGTTTGTTCTTTGGAAAGCCTTAAGTGGGTTACTTTGTGCAACATTTTCAAACTAAGTTTCGCCAATTCACCCAAAAAAGAAAAGAAAGAATATAACGAATAAATAAATTAAAAACGAGGAAAGGAAACGGTAACAGAAAACTTCGCCTCAACGAAGTTGCAATATCCTTGTAGAGCCAACTATACCAACAAGGATATTCCATAGACTTGCATTTAATATTTTCTACAAAACCCCAACTGTCAAAATTATTAGGAATTTGGAAGCTTTTACCCAAATATTAATAGATCCCATCGTGAACACCAGCAGATGATACTCGGGAGACTCTGCCAGAACTCTTACAAGATTGTTAATTATATAAAAACCTTAAAATTTTGTGCTTTTTTTTTAGGAACTGTACAAGCCGTATCAGACAATATAAAAAAACTGCATATTTTAGGTGTCAAAATGTTAAAATCTCAACAGGGTTGACAATCACACACATAGAAGGGTTGACAGAGAGAGAGAGCAGTGGAAAGAGGTAGTAAAATAATCGAATAACAATTTGTTGGGTCCCAGGGACCCCCAAGTACAAGCAAAAGGTTAAGAGAATTGGTGCATTCAGTGCAGTTAGAGGTTGAAAAATAGAGGTCACATCTCCAAGGATGGCAGGCTTCATCCAAAATTTCAATTCAAATTAAACATTAAGGAGGCAGAAGCTCCTCCTCCGCTTACCTGGAAGTAGTCGAAACTGGACTTGGTGCCCGGCGAGGCCGAGGACTGAGTGGAGCTGGGCGTTAGAGGAGCGTAGACTGCCGCGTTGGCTGGCAGCTGGACGCCAACGCCATCGCCAGCAGCCGCGGCGGCAGCGGCAGCAGCAGCGGCTGCCGCACTGGCGAGCAGCAGATTGTTAACACCGCTGCTGCTGCCGTTGCCACCCACTCCGACGCTGGTTGATGCGTGGCTCGCAGGACTGCCGCCCGTGACTGTCGCGTCGGGTGCTCCGGTGCCGGTACCCGTGCCAGTGCCTGCGGCGCCCTGGCCAGATCCTGCTCCCAATCCCGCTCCAGTTCCAGCTCCCACTCCCGTTACTCCAGATCCCAGTGCTGCACCCGCCGCAGTTCCGCCTGCTGCTGCCACGGCGCCTGCCACTGCTCCTCCACCGCCTCCTATGCCCATGGCCATGGCCGAAGTCGAGGGACTCGGGCCCATTCCATTGCTGCCGCACAGGCCCAGCAGATCGTTTAGTGTGATTGGATCTGTAAGGAGAAAGAATTGGGGGGGCTGAGTGGAAGGTCAACAATTATCAAGAAAGTTTCCCAGTGCCCAGTCGTCTCGATAAATCAAAACTATTGGTCCAAGGACTCGGCAAATATTCAAAGTTCGAACCAAAAAAATGCTAATAAATTAGGCGTACTGCAGTTGCTGTTTGTGTTGCCCGTGTTGCTCTGGTTGCTGTCGTGGTTCTGGGTCATGTTTTGGGTACCGTCGCCAGCCGCCAGCCTACCAAGGTCCTTGCTATTGCCACTGACATCACTGCTGCTGCTGATGTTGCTGGTCTGGCTGCGGTTGCTGTCGTTGCCGCTTTCGTGGCTGATGTTGCCACCAACAGGGCCTGCATCGGTACTGGTGTCGCACTCGCCTGTGCTGCCAAATTCGAAGGCATCTTGTCCAGGCGTCACTGCCACCGGTGGCTGCTTTCGGAGGAACAGCTTCTCAATGCCCATCATGAGTGCGGTTGGCCTATCCTGGTACTGACTTCTTGGATCTAGCAAACTGGGTCTGGTTCTTTGGACAGTTACAATTTTGAGGCGATATTTAAAATTTGACTGCTACTTAAAAATTTGATTGCGCTTCTGGGTTGCAGTGGTGGGCAGGCAATTTTTGGAAATTCGAAATGAAAATGAAAATTTTTCGGCCGCGGACCTCTTGCGGATCGGCTAGAGAGTCCAGAGTCCGGTTGAAAGAGTCGTGTCCCGATTAAACTAACTTAATAACATTGATTAACAACAAGTGTCTACGAATTGTGTGTGCCGGTTTCTAAAAGTAAAAAACGATTGAAATGTTTTCTGTTTTGGTGTTTGTGACATTCTGAAGCCCTCGGCCTTTGACAGCAATGTGAAAGTATCAACTTGTCGATTTGGATTTGGCTCGGCCCTGCTCTGTGCTCTTCCAGTTCAGGACAAAACCATGTTTATGCCAAAGAAATTGAGCATAGGTATCTAGGAGTTCTTCTTTCAGGAGGGCGACATTGTGACCAAGAAGGACCAGCGCATCCTGAAGCATTCCGACCTGCCGGCGTTAAGACCATGCAGTCTAAGAGCTTCAAAGACCTACGAGGAGCAGCGGTGCTGCCTTCACATGCTCCACCATGAACCAGCTCCGCCGAGGAGGTAGAGTTCCGAGGAGGGTTCGGGCGTGGACCCCGCAACTAAGGTACTTCTAGTTGAACATTAAATATTAAAAAATAAACCCTACTTTTTGGACATTAGGCTAAGATTTAGAAAGCTAACTTAATCCTACATCCTTGTAATCACTGCTGGAAGAGCCCCCGTGGAGGAGTCCCAATTACCATTTATAAAGTTGATTAGGCCATCATCGTTGTGCCGGCTGAGGATATCATTCTGATTCTGTTGCTGCAGCTGGTGGTGATGTTGCTGCTGCAGCTGCAGGTGGTGCTGCTGTTGCTGATGTTCCAGGAATGAGCTGATCGTGGTGCCGCCGTTCAGGGCTCTCATGTTGACGCCAGTTCCAGAGCAGTCGGGGGTGTCGAACTGGAAGTATAGATAGAAAGTGGAGAAACATTATAGAGACAGGGGCATGGAGAGATTTGAACGGTAATTGTAATAAAAACGGGCGACAGTTCGCAAAACTTCTACCGGCATGTTGCCTCCCACCCAGGCGGCAACTAATGAATCGTTTATCTTTCACATTTCTTGCCACATGCCAGGCGAAAGGATGCAACAACGTAGCAACCGCACGAGGACAGGCAGCCACAAGGAGCCAAGCGTCCCGCCCCTCCCGCATATCCTGGCAGCACACCACATTCCCCATTTTCCCAGCACCCTTCTTGCTCGCCTGCCTGGCTGAAGGACTCTCGAGCGCCTGGGTGCAATTAAAAGCGCATCAAGTGTCAGTGGAGCACACTTAAAAATGCCAAATTAGTGCAAATATTGTTATCAGGCACTCACCAAACAATTTAGCGCAAAATGGCGTACAACTCATTACGCCGGATTAATGCAGTCGCCCCCGAAAGCGGAAATAAAGCAGACCGGAAATAGGGATGAGCAGCAAGACCCTTGTCGGTGGTCAGCTTATGCTCCAGTTACCTAAAAAAAAAAAGGAACCTTGACTTTGGTGCTGTAGGTCCTTGACTTTAAAGATCAATAATCATAAAGCCTATCTAGGTTTCTTTTATTAACTTGGAAGACCTCATTTGCTCGGTGGATGGAAGATCCCTCAACGATGTAGACAACCAAGAAGGAACTTCCCCGTCGGTGGCAAGTTTTGAATGCCGGAGAATGGAGCGACAGTCGACGGCTTCCTTAGTCTTTGTCAAGTTGTCACAACTATGTTAAGTACAAAACTTGCTATGGATTTAAAAATTGAATGACAACTTGATGAAGGTACGTGCAAAGTCGGAAATGGAACGAACAACCACACGCATGGCAATCATCCTGCCTACCCCACACCCACACACTGCCCCGACCCACTCCCCGCATGTACGCTTCCTGCCGGCGTGTGAGTCACAAGGATGTGAGTGGACACACTGACACACCCAAGAATGTGTGCAGGATTTTAGACTTTGTTTCTGGTCCTCGTACGTAACACCACCACCCCGACAGTTACAACTTGTGGCAGGCAGGCGATAAAAAAAAAGGCGGCGTCAATGAATGCAAATTACAAATAGTCTTGGAGCTATTTTGTAATGCCGAGGCCGCCTCCACATCCGCATCCGCATTTGCCGTCAAAAATGCCAGTAAGACGCTAAAAGCTTTCGCTGCCGGAAATGGAAAAGGCGTCAAAGAAACTAACGAGCCTCCTCCACTTTCAGGGACGAGCCTCCTCCTCGACATCGAAACAGGGATGCTCTTCCAGATACCAGCCACCTTTTAATTATATGTATTCTTCAATATCTGGTCGCTGGACAGGATTCTTGTTGGCCACAAGAGTGGAAGGAATGAACATAAACACCGAAATTGAATACGACAAAAAATCTGAACCACCCCTTGGACGCATGGATAGCACCCTGGCCTATTGACTGCTCAATTCCGTACTGCTCCCCTTCTCCGGACAGGACATCCACATCCATCCTCTCCATCGAATGCGACTTCTTTCCTGCTGCTGCGGTTGCCTTCTCCCTCCATTCCTCCAGCTCCAGCTTCCTTGCTTGTCTTTTGTCGTCGAGGATTTGCAAAAATTTGATTCAATGGCGTCTCCTCATCCTCATCATTCTCCTCCTCCTCTGGCACTTTTGCATTCTGCCAGCTGATTGCTACATGGAGATATTCAGCATCTCTCTGCGTCCTAGTCAGAGACTCCGATCCGATCCGAAGATGTCAGCCAAGGGACCGGGCCAAGGAGCCGGGCCACGCCACCCATAACTCAGTAGTTATTTATCCAATGTCCATTTGACTTGGCTTTTGTGCATTCGCTCTGCGGCTCCTTGAAAAAGGCTGGAGGATGGGGGCTAAGGGATGGGGGCTAAGGGCTGCGGGCTGGAAGGAGATGCCCCTTCTTCGTTGGCCATTTTCCTTGCCTTTGGTTGCGATTTAGTTTTGGCAAGCGATTTGCCTGGGTTGTTTTGGGTCTGGCCTGCATTTTAGCGAACACATTCGCCTCGATGTCCGGGTCTGAGTCTGGGTCCGGGTGCGGGTCGGAGGCATGGGCATGGGCCTCTGTAAATTACAAGTTTCTGCTTTCAGAAGTCATACAAATTATTATGTTTGCATCGCTTACAAACACTTATTAGATGTTTCGTCCTGGGTCCTGTTTGCTGCTCCTGCTCCTGCTCTGTTCCTATTCTTCCGGCAGTGAGCGCGTTGTAATGCTTCTGGTCCGGTCCTCTGGCCCCAAAAGGGTTTTCGGCATTAAAATTTGATGGCATGTAGTGATAAGCGTTCAATAACGATGTTGTCCATGTCGTCGCCACTCCATCGGCCATGTCGGCGCTTCCCTTGGCCTGCCCTCCTCCATTTGGGGGGCCACTTCATTCGATTCGTTTCGATTTGCCCACAGCAGCCAGAGGTTAATGCTCAGTTGTAATTTTTTATGGCCGATTACATGTTGCCAACTTGTGGGCGAAAAGGAATCGCACAAGGACGTCAGTCGGTGGGGTTGCCGGGTTGCAAGTCCATAAAGGATAAGAGTTATGGCCGAATGCATTTGAATTTGCCAGCGGTAATAGAGTGTTTGCATATTACGTGGCGAGAGTGTTTAAATCCCCTGAAAGTCAGATTCCCGGATGCAAAATTTATGAAGCTTTAGGGGATCTACAAATTGTGGAATTTCATGGACGTGGATGCCCGAGGGGAAATCAACGAGATGTATCTTCATATACAATGTTATGGAAGATTATACTAAAGAGATGACAAGTTGGAAGGATATTAAACAGTAAGAGGGTACTATCTATTCCTAAACTATAATTAACTAGTAAGACTCCTTAAATCCCAATACACCTTGGAAATTAAAAACCATTCACCGGAGCACAATCCGCTTTGAATCCTGGGCCCAAGTCGTGGCAGGAGGGCGATGTGGGTGACAGGGATTCGATAAGATGCAAATGCCTGCAGGACAGACCGTGTTGTGCTGCTGTACTGGATGGTGGGTGGGGCGCCACTACCTCACTAATGCAGTGGCACGTAATTGCTGCGCCTACGACTATGCAATGGATCCAGTTCCTCTTCCTGAACTGTCTGCTTCCTTGGCCTTTTCCAGCTGTTGCCTGGCTTGTACTTGTGCCACTGCCATTTCATTAAACGCCAATGGCTGGCTAAATTGAATTGAGTTTCGAGCACACGCCGAGTGCCATTCCATCGATTGCAGCTTTGATGCGATGTGTCGTCTTCATATTTACATAACTGCATGCCATTCATGTCCTGTGTCTCTGGCAATATGAAAACAAGACATTAAATGCCTTTCTGGATCAAAACTCAACTATCAAAGCGCATGCAGACGTCTTCGTTGTCCTGATACTCCTCCACCTCCTCCTCGACATCCTTTGCGGAGTCAGTCGCAGTTGCAGCTTCCTTTCGCATGCAGCCCATCCATTTAATAATAACAATATCGTAATTCAGGCAAGTCCCTGACAGCTCCAGCACCACCAACACCACCACCACCAGTGGCAGCTTTTACATGGGCGTAGCCTTACCTCCTCGGCCTCCATCATCATGGCCCCACAATATAATCTCCACCAGTCTCCCGCCAGCCCCACAAAACAAACGAGAGAAGCGTAGCGACATTTCAGTTTCAACGGCAACATTTCCGATTCTCAACGCTTTGTTGTCGTTGTTATTGTTCCTCTCGGGCTTGGGCTGGTTGGAGGTGGATCCTGGAGGCTCCTGGTGGCTCCTAGGGTGTGGGGGCCAAGCAGCCGTCAACAGGCATTCAATATGTGTACGTGTGCGTACAACTGCAACTGCAACTGTGTCTGTGAGCGCTAAGTGGAAATAAAACACGCGCTTTTTCCGCACTGTATTATCTGCCATGGATCTGCAGCTCCACCTATAACTTATATACAGCCCCATACAATATACCAGGCATATATAAATCGGTGCTGGGAGTCGACACCATGGAGAGCCGGCTGTTGGGCTGGAGGATGGTGCACATTTTTTAGGCAGCCCACGAGGCGAAAAGGCAAAACTTTTCCGGGGCCTATTTAAAAAACAGACCTCTCGTGGGAAAATTATGATGAATATGTGGATGCCCTGAATGAGAAGAGAAGCTAATATTTTTAATTTAATTTTAGACAAGATTTGATACTTTAATGCTTACTTTCTAGAGTTTATTTCTCCATCAAGTCTCCTACTTCTTTCTGTAACTTTCCTCGACCTGTAACCTTTTTTAGTTCAGGTCCTGTAGGAAAGTTTGGAAAACCCTAGGCTAGGGTATACAAAAAACAAGAGGCGACTCCGACTAGGCTGCCCTTTTGTGGTTGCCTTTTGTTGTTTCTGTTGCTGTTTGCTTCTATTTTCTTTTGCCGCATTTTTGTTCGCTTTTAATGATAACGCAACAGCATTGTGTACATGCCCCACCACCCACCACTGCCCCACAGAGCCACCTTTCGTCATCCGCCCAAACCACAAATGCCGGCTGTGGAGCACAGAGTCAGGAGAGGATCAGGATGGAGCAGCAGGCCACCACAACCACCACGCATGCCACCGCTGCCGATGCATTAAATGCTAGTTGAGCCGAGTGTGCGACGTCTGGCGGAGTAAATTCAATTGAATTTTGCACTCGTTTTCTGTTTTTCAGTTTTTCAATTTTTTTTTCATTTTTCCACCCAGTAGCTGCTGTTATTTTTTTCCGGCTGATTTTCCTTTCTTTTTTTTTCCTCATTTTTGTTAAATGCCAGAGGCTCATATTGCACTGGGCTACGCCCTAATGCTCCATACACAGCCCACACCAAACCACCCACCATCCCTGGATCCCAGTATCCCCAGTCTCCAGAGCAGTGCAACAAACGCACCCTGGTTGATATTTTCTTATTGTTGTAGTTGTAGTTGTTATCCTTCGCGCTGGCGGCGGGCGTGTGATTTGCTTGGTATCGACATTTTAATGATGTGCCTTGGGGCTCCTGCCACCGCATTGTTGAAAGAGACGACGACTCCGACAACGACGCCTTGTACTTTTGGCATTTGCGCGAAATGTCGAGACATTCCAATAGTCTGGAAGGGGGAGGGTCAGGACGAGGAAAACTTAGCCCGGCCTGGACATCGCAAGCTGCCAGGGACCAGAAGAAGCCAGCCTGCGGCAAATACTTAAGTATACATAACCAACTGTTAATGCCGCCCCAGCACAATGATTTGCTTGAAATGATTCCAACCCACCCACCGGGGGGCGGTCGTCCGTTTATCGTTTCATTCGGGTTTGGTCTTGGACTCCATAATGCCAATGATTTGCCTGACTGGTAATCAAATTTGAGATGGCTAATAACTGGCAATTGCAGAGACTAATTTTGGCATTAGGAAGGCCATTTCATGGGTGGGTAGTTGCAGCAACAGGTATCAATAGGAAGTAGTGGGAGATTCCTCAGTAGTTCTCCTCCAAATCTTGGAGAACCAAAGAGTTGCTTTGACCTATACCCTCTTAGGAGGTTGATGATCCTTTCCTGCTGCTAAGAGCTCAGTGGGATATGAATATAGGACACTAAATAAAGATGTTCAGCACATCCTATAACCGACAAATTATCCTTTCCAGCCATCCTAGCCATTATTTATAGGCATTTTAAACAGCGGGCAATGGCGCAATGACAAATAATATAAAAAATATATATAGGATATCTAAATACATGTATATACCAGAGAGAAGGGCGGAAGGACATTAAGTATACGCCACGTTGGCATCAAGTAGACGCATTTTAGACATTACCAGGAAATAAATATGAATATACTACCCATACACAGCAATATGGAAATGAAGGTTGGAACCTCTGCCGGGGGTAGGTTGGGGGAGACTACTCTGTGCTTACAGGACGAAATTGACATTTTGCATTTAGTTATTCAGTTGGGTCTATTTTGATCTTTTTCCACAGCCACTGCTGGCAGAAAAATTGCATAATAACCCCTTTTGAAATCGTCGGATTATCCTTAAATATTTGTGTAAACATTGTAACAAATGCGCAGCTCCATTGTCAGCCAACTCGGGGCTCACCCCCACTTTGTTCCATTGACGTAGTCAAGGCAGTTGCTTCTCCTCAGACCCGGAGAATGATGAGCAATAGACGGGCCCTGTCACAGTCGACAATGAGCAACTTTTTAGGAGGAGTAGAACGTGGCAAGGATGCAACAATGGGACCAGACCAAGTGCTCCAACGAGGGGGGGGCAGCATCTTGAGAAACCTGTCACACATATTGACAGCCGCTTTAGAATCATTTAAATCTAGTCGAGGGTCGAGGGTCGGGTCACGAGCTGATTCAGCTTCGGTTAGCATATGCGTGTGGGCATAAAGGATATAGTATTAAAAGCATCCTTGGGGAGGTGAAGGGCAACCGCCGCTTCTGACATAATTTTGATGTGTATTGCCATAAAGTCGATTGTCTGGCTGGCAACATAATTAATTTTATTGGGGATAAAGTGAGCTTAAAAAAACAGACAGGCTATTATTGGAGGTCCCATCATTGTCATAAGAAGTGGTCCTTAAGGATTTCGTTCCACTCAGGATTCAGGATACTCGAAGTATATTGCAATATGTTGCCTCCCTCTTCCAGTAATGATATGCTTTCAGGATGTCCTCTTCTCTTTAATATTGGAAACGCCCCCGTGTCCTTTTTGCCTCATTTCCTGTTCAGCATCCCCGTCGTCGATAGCTTTTTTGTGCTGCCGACGAGTGTCCTAATCGAATCATCTCATTTAAGTGAATTAAAAAACATATAAAGGAAGAGCAAAATTAAATCACGCAACTATTTTGCGCAACAAAGAGTACAATTAATGCCTACCGCCCAGCCCAGCCCCGCCCTTTGTCGAGTCTCCGTCTCCGTCTCCGGCAAGGATATCGAGATGGCGGCGGTGGCGGCGTCTGGCGAACAAAACGCCGCAAGTTTAATCGAATTTAACTACTCATAATGTGCAACAGACAAATGGCAGACTCGGTGGAGCAGAAGGATGTGGCAAGGTGGCAAGCAAAACTCTCAGAAGTGAGGCGTAAAGTTTGGCACTAATCTGATTAGGATCAGCCAGCCAGCCAGCCACTCACTGGCTCCCAGTTGGGTAGGTGAGCCACCAGCAGCAGCTGATGCCCCTGCTCCAGTCTTCTCTCCTCTCCAAATCCTGAATCTCTCTCTGAATGCGACTCCAACTCGTACGTGAGCGTTTCAATTACCGCTCCGGGAGTGCGAATGGGTTTTATTATTATTTACATACCTGTTGCAGCAGGGGCATTGTTTTGGATAAAAATTCCAATTTCCACACTTGTTCACGTCGCTATTGGTGTATTGGTGTTGGTGTTCGTGCTGGTGGCCCTCGTCCTTCGTGCTGGGGCGCTCGGCTCGGCAGCATCCGCAGCAACTGACAAAGCGGCAAAACAGATGTCACCACTTCCGCGTCCTGGTCCGGCTTTCGGCTCCGGCTCCGGCTCCCACTCCCGCGCCGCCTAACAGAGGAGCTTCGCGCTCTGCTCTCGCGATGCTCTGGACTGCTCGGGGGCTCTCTCGGCTGCGCAGAACGTGTGTGTGTGTTGGAGTCCGATGAGGAGACTTAGTTGTTGTTGTTGTTGCTCTTTTGCCGGGTCGTGATTTTTTTTTTTTGTTATTATTTTTGTTGGATAGGGAGGTGGTATGAAGGCAGGAGCAGGCGGCTGGCACCCAAGACAGCTGGCAGATGTGGCCGTATCAGCACCAAATAGTCATCGATTCATTATTCCGCCTCGTCAACGATGCAAATTTCCAATTCCAGTTCTAAAAGGACGAAAGGATAAAAATACATTAGCATAAGCCAGTAATTGAGCTGCCTTCGTCACCGTTTGGACCGTTTGGCTCTTTGTAGTTTTAGTAGGTCCCCCCCTCCCCCAACCGTTAATTCAGTTTCTCTGAACCTGAAGTCACTGAAGTAAAAAGCACACGAGTACGCACTTGAGCGTTAAATGCCGCAAATCGATCAAGGCGTATCCCTTCTCTCACTTGGTCTAACTGTAATTAACTGTTATCCTGAAGGGCTGCCCATCATTTTTGTCGCTTACTCTAAAGTCCCCCACTGTCGGAACTATGCATTATCCTTCCCGGGAAAGGACTGAAGGGGGGCGGTTGTCCTTAAACGGGAGGCAATCCTTTCGGAAGCTGTATGTTGAGCGAACCTATTATTAGAGCCATAAATCAGCATGAAATGAGCAGCAGAACACAGCAGCAGCAGCAGTGTAGCCCCCAGTTGGAGTTGGAAAATGGAGCCAAGCCCTGTCTCGCTCTCTCTCTCTCGCACGCTCACCCATCCCCGTCCCGCTCTCGCATTGAAGCTACCGCCTCGGCCTGTCTCGCTCTCCGTGCGTACAATAATGGGCAGCGGCAGCAGTGAGTAGTTAAGGCGGCGATGGCCACTAGTTGTTGTTTTTGCATTGTTGCTTTTCTGCCAGAGAGATGACGTGAGCCATGTAACGGCACTTACATAGTAGTAGTAAGTAGTGGAAGTTGTAAAACACGCACTGCCAGAAAGAGAACGAGAATGAGACGCGGCCCATTTGCACTATGCACTGTTTTTTTTTTTTTTTTTTTCGGCGACCAAACGCCGAAAGTTTACTACTATTAACAGGAATCGGCGTTTTGCCGGCGTCCCCCAATACATACCCAGGACACTTTGGTGGAACACGCGCCTGGCGCATAAATTTGTGGCAATTTAATTTTAATTCCGCACCCGCAATCGCATCCCGTTCCTATTGTCGTCAGCCGCCGTTTCTTTTCTTGCCGTGCGTGCCAAGCACATTTTTGCCCAAAACACACACGAACACGCAGGAACCGTTACTTGTACGCTTTCGTTTGGCTTTTTTCTGCTCCGCCTCCTTGTAGTACTTGGCCCCTCACTCACGGATGCATCTTCTTATTGTTAAACTATTTTTTTATTACCAAATTGATGCCGAAAATTTCAACTTTTTAGGAGCTTTATTTTTGAGCGGTCAGCAGCGGTCCGCGCCTAAATGACACGAGAGCTTGGCGTCGGTTTCGTTCGACTTCACAATATTTACTTCCCACAATACCATCTGATGATATTTTTTCGGCTTCGGGCAAATTCCAAGAAAAGCGACGCCACACCAAAAGTTTTGTCTCTATTTTTCGAATTTAATTTTTTTTTAAGGAGTCTAGAATTTGTATTATAATTTATTTTTATTCCATTGTTAAGTTTATTTATCCGTTATGCCGCGCTCCCAATCGTTCGGACTTGTTCGGCTGTAGTTCTGTAATGGAATGTAACATGTAACTGTAAATTCGACTACATCCTTCTCTCAGCAGCGAACAGCTGAACAGGATTTGCAGAGAGAATTAGGAGGGTGTGCTTTATACTATTATTTCTACTATTAAAACTATTATATATTTAGAAAGTATGCCAAAATTTAAGGTATTATTTTTTATTTTTGAGCTTAAAACCGCTTCCAAACTGTTTTCACTCACCAAGTTACAACAAATAAAATAATCATTAAGTTGTCATTAAAAACTATCAAATTTTAACTTGTTGTGTTTTTTTTATAAATATAATTCAAATTGATTGAATATCTAACGCTCTTAACATCACGATATTTTTCACAGTGCAACCGATTACGCTCTCTTCGAAACAGCTGTGCTTTGCAAGGTTGCCACACTGCCTTAAAAAGCTTAATTTTCCTTGATAAATACTACTACACCGTCAATAGGGAAATAATTAAAAATTATTGGAAATAATAGGTTTTTGATTACGTAGATTAAGTATATATTCTCATCTCTTATTATTTAAGGGAAATTTTTTCGATTTTGGCAGTCTGCACAAATTTTGGCGCTGCCATCATGTTATTTGTAAACTTTCAAATGGCGCTTTCGTCCTAGATGGCGCTCAAATATCGGCGTCTCTCAGCTGTTTCATATTTTAGAATCGTACTTTATTTCACACAAACAAAAAATTAACTTGTAACGCTGAATAAAATGCCGGGAGACGCGGAAAATACGAGCACCGACACCACAAATGACCAAATCGACCTGTCTATGTACCGGAAGCTGGTCAAACAGTTTATTGACATGGCAAGTATACAAAAAAGCCGGCTTGGACGCTCTTAATATTGCTTTTGACTTTTAGCGTCGATACTCCACGGCTCTATTCTGGGCGGAAAAAGTTGCCGTGCTCAGCGGACAGGAGCCCCGGGATGTGTACTACGAGGCACAGTGCATGTACCTGCTGGGCGAGTTCCATCGGGCGGCCCACACTATTCAGCACCACAAACTGCAGAAAAACTCTCTTCCCTGCTTTAACCTTCTCCTGGAAAGCCTATACGCGGCCAAGGAGTACGAGGAGGCGGCAACTGCCATCCAGAACGTGGAGGTGGAGGTGATGACCACGTCGCTAATCAACCAGCCCATGGACGCCGGAAGCGGGTGCTATCTGGAAAGCAACAGTGTTTTTGGAGGCGAGGAGAACCACAGGAACGAGCTTCTCGCATCTATTTACCTGATGAAGGGCAAGGTATACGAGGCCTTAGACAATCGAGGAATGGCTATGGACTTCTACGTGAGGGCCTTGCACAAATCCATTTACTGTTTTGAGGCGCTGGAGGCTTTGGTTCAGCACGAAATGCTAATGGCCTGGGAGGGTGAGTATTCACTGTCAATCCTGTTTCTCCAAATAATACGTGAATTTTTTTTTAGAATTCGAGTTGATGCATCATCTGCCTCTAGCCCAACAATCCAGTGAAACAGACGCAAAGTTTATTTTAAAACTCTACGAGTCTCGGTTAAAGAAGTACTATGAGTTGATATCGGCAAGGAATGCGGAAGAGATTTCCCCGATAGTCAATCCGGATGTACTCAAGTTCATAAAGGAATTTACTGCCCGAGTGCAGCAAACCTGTTCCTCGGACATAAATATGCCCAAAGTTGGTGGGCTCAAGGTGCCACTTACGCCCGGCCAGTTTATGTCACCTGCCCAGAAGTGAGTTCTTTATCGGAATTTATTAGAAACCTTTATTAATTTGGTTAATCATGCCTAGAGTTTTGGATGATCTTAAGGCCCCAAGCTTCTCGCTTCAGACAAGTCTGTCCAGAGCCTCCTCCCTTATAGATGCTTCGCACCGCTCCATGTTCGACTCCTCCAGTCGTCGTAAATCGCGTGATTTGGATGTCGACACATTGATTCCTCTGGGGGAATGTCTGAATCGAGTGCAGCGCAGTACAGACATGATGGCAGCCGAGGCGGAAAAGTGTTTCTACGATTGCGATTACAAACTGTGCCTTAAAATATTAAATGAGTATTTAATACCCAAACTGTTTGAAACTCTGAATGTAATCCTTTCCTGTTTTAGGTTACTCAAAGTAGACCCTTTCCACAACAAAGCCTTGACAATCCAGATAGCTTGCTTGGTGGAGAACGGCGACTTCAACCGACTCTTTTATGTGGCTCATAAGCTGGTGGATCGCTATCCTGATAAGGCCATATCCTGGTATGCTGTAGGCTGCTACTACGACATGATTGGCAAGAGCGACCCGGCCCGGCGATACTTAAGCAAGGCCACTTCATTGGATCGACTCTATGGTCCTGCCTGGCTAGCTTATGGCCACAGTTTCGCCAACGAAAATGAGCACGAACAGGCCATGGCTGCCTATTTTAAGGCCACCCAACTGATGCGTGGCTGTCACCTGCCTCTACTCTATATAGGTGTTGAATGTGGACTCACCAAGAACCTGGAACTGGCAGAGAAATTCTTCCTTCAGGCCATGAACATTGCCCCACTGGATGTGTATGTGCTCCATGAGCTAGGTGTAATCAAGTATGAGTATGAGTTCTACGACGGTGCTGCCACAATATTTCAGTGCACTGTGGATATAGTAAAGCAAATGGCTAAAACGAACAATGAGGAGATTTCAGCACGATGGGAGCCGCTTTTTATTAATCTAGGCCATTCCCTGCGCAAGGTTCACAAGTACGAGGAGGCTCTGTACAACTTTCAATACGTAAGTTCCCATTTGGAACCAAAAGTCCATCTGTTAAATTATTTATTCTTTTCAGGCTCTTCTTCTCAAGCCGCAAAGTGCCACCACCTATACTTCAATTGGCTTTATTCACGCCCTGCTAGGCAATCTTGATGCGGCTATCGAAGCTTTCCACAAGAGTTTGGCCCTGAACAGGGACTGCATTGTGACTTCCACTATTTTAAAGAGCTGCATTGAGGACCTCATGGACGACACGGCTACCATAGATGAGATTTGCAGCGCCGCTCTCAAGGACGTGGCCAAAACGATAACGGCCAACAGTAGCCGGGTGCTTAATTCGGATAAATTCAATGGCATGAAACTGAAATTTGAGGAAGAGGAAGAGTACACCAACTCGGACTCCAATATGGTGGTGGAAATGAGCTTCGATACCTAAAGAAACCAAAGGCCAAGACTTTCCGATCATTAGCCGGGCAAATATGTTCCATGCACTTGAACCTAATTCGTGCCCACGTCGGCAAACACAGATGTTTATGCTTCTGAACTGGCTAATGAGCCGGAGTCTTGGGATTTCTAGGCTCTGTTTTTCCCCACCACCACCCACAACTACTCATTTGAAGTCGGCCGCCAAGTGATTATAGAGTTTAGTATTTAAGAAACGCGCAAAAGTCTCATTTGAATCATATTTGCGTGAGGCTGCCAAGAGTGGTTCTACCGACCAAGTTCTCCAAAACAATCAGTCTGTAACTTTAGCATATAGTTTGTATTACTTTGTAATTAAATCTGCTTAGATGTAAACGAGGAATAACATTCCAAATTTGTGAGCACGTAGTTTCAGAAGTTTTTTGAACTTTTTCAATGCCACTTGGCTTTGGTTTATTTGGCGTGATTTCTAAATGAATTATTTAAGAGTTCCGCGTGTGTTTCCACTCCAAAAAGCCGGCAAATTATACCAGAATATCTTCTTCGCCCAGCGAGTGGCATAAATCCATAAAGCTAAGAGGTCGCCGCGATAGTGCTTATCGGTTATCGCTCTGGAGGCGAAGAGAAAATTTAAAATTAAGTGTCGTTAAACTTTTGGATATGCAAACAAACTACTGATACACTTTATGGCAATACACAGGCTACAGAGTAAGCGCCGTCCAAATATTTGTCCACACCATAAGGTGCCATAAAGCGTGAGACAATCCGGCTATGACGTTTACCACTTGGTTGGAGATTCCGCCGAAGGTTTCCGCGTGGAAAACATGTTTATGCATATGAAAGTCGCCGCCACCGGCAGATAAAGGGTCGGGCGTGAACATACCGGGCCATATATAAATCGGTGTCCGAGCTAGAACTCGACACAGTTGAAATCCACCCACATTCAGGGAAACCCAAGCAGCACAGAATGAATCAAAAAGTGTTCCTATTGTTGGCCTCAGCCTTAGCCATTTGCCAGGCATTGCCTTTTGTGTCCTATGACGATGTGGATGATACGGAAGTGGTGGAACTACCGGGAAATGGTCTGGAGGACCCACCGAAACTTGGCCAGGACATCATTGATCTAACACCGTTTGGTGCTGCCCTGTTTGGCAAACCGGATGAGCAGCAAACTGCTGTGCGAGTGGGAAACTTCTCAGATGCCGATGCTGTGAACCCCGAGGAGCTGGGCAACTACCTGGAGGGAGACATGCTGGTGCCCCAAACCGATCTGATAATGAAAAACGGCCTGCCTACCCAATCCTCCCGCTGGCCCAATGGCATTGTGCCCTACGAGATTCGTGGCAACTTCAATTCAAAGGATATGGCCACTATTGAGAACGCCATTGCCGAGTACCATCGCCGCACCTGCATCCGTTTTGTGAGACGCAGCTCGGAGAGGGACTACATTTCCATTCGAGGCGATAACTCTGGCTGCTGGTCGTCAGTGGGTCGTGTTGGTGGCAAGCAGGATGTTAACCTTCAGACCCCGGGATGCCTTAGTCGTCCCGGCACCGCCATGCACGAACTGATGCACGCCCTGGGCTTCCTGCACGAGCAGAACAGGATGGAGAGGGACAACTATGTGGCTATCCAATACAACAATGTCCAGTCCTCAGCGATGAACAACTTTGAGAAGGCCGCCCGGACGGAGGCTTTTGGCGTGCCCTACGACTATGGCAGTGTGATGCACTACTCCAAGAACGCCTTTTCCATTAACGGACAGCCTACTATTATTGCTATGGCAAGTCCCTAACATTCTTTTCTATTAAGGAAAATAATAATCCTTTGTAATCCTCTCGGTTTCAGAAAGCGAATGGCGCTGACAAAATGGGCCAACGAAATGGTTTCTCCGATTTTGATATTGAAAAACTGAACCGCATGTACAACTGTGGAACTGTTGGCTCGGCTCCCTACTCCCCAGCTGCCCCTGCTCCAGCTCCGGCTCCGGCAGGAGGAGCAGCTTCCGGAAGTGGTAACCCCATTGTAGACAGTTTCTTAGGAGGGCTTATCAGCGGCTTGGGACTTGGCGAGGAAGAAAAAAAGGAATAAACTCTGCCCACAGAATCTACTAGCTCATACGGATCATCCATGCTCGAAACTATTTAATGCATCTCACCTAGAAAATATATAGCACAAATATCTGAATCTTGTTATAATAAATGTAGTCTTTAATAATACAATTAATAAATTAGCATGAAATAAAACACAATTCCTGAAAAAATATATTTCTGATCGGATACAATTTGGCAGAGCTATGGCCTCCGGAAGGAACAAAAGTGGGGAAATTGAGAAAACCCACAATTTTATGGGGTTTTCTAAATAGAGTCCAAATTGATACCTATATTCTCCCCAATTCTCACCCGATTCTCAAGCGGAGTACCTTAAACTATTTCTGGATCGATGGGAAAATGTGTAGGGTCCACAGTGATGGCTATATCTTTCCCAATTCTCATCCGATTCTCAAGCGGAGTACCTTAAACGATTTCTGGATCGATTTGCCACCATTCTGCATCAAAATCCCGAGACAAAATATTTTTTAGATTTTTTGTCCGTTTTTCGTGATGAGATCCCTTGGAAATGGGGTTTTCCCCTATAGGGGCCACAGTGATGGCTATATCTTCCCCAATTTTCATCCAATTCTCAAGAGGATTATCTTAAACGATTTCTGGATCGATTTGCCACCATTCTGCATCAAAATCCTGAAACAAAATATTTTTTATATTTTTTGTCCATTTTTCGTGGTGGGATGCCTTGAAAATAGGGTTTTCCCCTATAGGGGCCACAGTGATGGCTATATCTTCCCCAATTTTCATCCGATTCTCAAGCGGAGTATCTTAAACGATTTCTGGATCGATTTGCCACCATTCTGCATCAAAATCCTGAAACAAAATATTTTTTATATTTTTTGTCCATTTTTCGTGGTGGGATGCCTTGGAAATGGGGTTTTCCCCGATAGGGGCCACAGTGATGGCTATATCTTCCCCAATTTTCATCCGATTCTCAAGCGGAGTATCTTAAACGATTTCTGGATCGATTTGCCACCATTCTGCATCAAAATCCTGAAACAAAATATTTTTTATATTTTTTGTCCATTTTTCGTGATGGGATCCCTTGAAAATGGGGTTTTCCCCTATAGGGGCCACAGTGATGGCTATATCTTCCCCAATTTTCATCCGATTCTCAAGCGGAGTATCTTAAACGATTTCTGGATCGATTTGCCACCATTCTGCATCAAAATCTCGAGACAAAATATTTTTTATATTTTTTGTTCATTTTTCGTGATGGGATCCCTTGGAAATGGGGTTTTCCCCTATAGGGGCCACAGTGATGGCTATATCTTCCATAATTTTCATCCGATTCTCAAGCGGATTATCTTAAACAATTTCTGGATCGATTTGCCACCATTCTGCATCAAAATCCTGAGACAAAATATTTTTTATATTTTTTGTCAATTTTTCGTGATGGGATCCCTTGAAAATAGGGTTTTTCCCTATAGGGGCCACAGTGATGGCTATATCTTCCCCAATTTTCATCCGATTCTCAAGCGGAGTATCTTAAACGATTTCTGGATCGATTTGCCACCATTCTGCATCAAAATCTCGAGACAAAATATTTTTTAGATTTTTTGTCCATTTTTCGTGATGGGATCCCTTGAAAATGGGGTTTTCCCCTATAGGGGCCACAGTGATGGCTATGTCTTCCTCAATTCTCAAGCGGAGTCTCAACCCTGAAAAAATTCTGAAAGTCGATAATATAATATAACATAGATAATACTATATAATAGATAATACTACTATTTCTCTAGTGTGTCATACCACTGGAAAACTAGGAGGTGAATAGAAAAGAGTGTTTTCGTGCAGAGCCCTAGGTTAAAGGACAAAATTTGCTATTATTATTTATATTATATTATTATTTATAATATTTTTGACGGTTTGATGTTATGCACATTTTTGGAGATTTAACCAAAAGGAATGACAGTGCCCATTCCAAGAGCCAGGATCCCAGTCAAGTTACATATGTCGCTTGGCGGCAAGAAGGCGAGAGCGTGGCAGGCGGCACTGGCTGATGCTGTGGAGGCGGTACTGCATTTCCGGCTGGGTCACCTTCTCGTAGAGCTTCTTCTTGGCCTCGGTGACCGAGTGAACGAGAACCCCATCGCCACCGTCGTCCATGTTGAAGGCCTCGCCCTCGGCGCACTCGGGACACTGTTGCGTCAGGACGATGTCGTTGAGATCCGTGGGCAGCTCGCATATCTTCTCGATCTGCTTGACCACGTAATCGAAACGTGCATCGTCCTGGCGCTCCATCACATAAACGCTGGCTGTTATGTCTTGGATCCTCTGCTCGAGGAGCCGGCAGAACCGGTTGACATTAACAAGGCTCACGTGGGTGTGGTCGCCGAGGAGCTTTGTCAGGGGGGCGATGTCGATGGAGCACATTTCGCAGATGGTCTCCACGCCCTGGAGTAGATTCTCCAAGCGGGCATCGTTGCTTTCCCGGGTCTTTTGCAAGTCTAGGTTGGATTCCTGCTTGGTGCGCACCTTTCCTTCCAGAGTAGTGATCTGGTCTAGCTGCTCCTGGAGGGTGTTGGTATTGTCCTTTTTCAAAGCCACTATATCCTCGAAGAGTCGGTTTACGGAGTTGTTGAGCAGTGTGATATGGTAGCTCATCTCGTTTGCATAGTTGAAGAACGAATAGTAGAGACTCTCCTGCTGCTGGAACTTCCCGATCACCTCTTCCACATTGTTGGAGTCTGTGTACTCCAGGATCTTCTGCAACACAGAGTTGTATAGATTGATTTTCTTGTTATGCAGCCGCCGGAACTCGTCCCTTCGCTTGTACTCCTTGGGCTGGAGGTCGGCCAGCTCTCGCGCCTTGGATTTGCACTGGAGGAAGGCCGAGTTGTCATCATCGGCGGCCACTTTCCGCATGATGCCCTGCATCTCCACCCGCCGCAGCTCCCTCTCCTTTGCCTCCCTCTTGGCCAAAATATCGATCTTCTCGTACACCTCAATGCACCCGTCGAAGGTGTTCAGGGCGTACTCGATCAAATCGATGAGATACTTCTTGTCGCTGTTCAGCTTGAGCACCATTTTGGTGTAGGAATCGTTGAAGAAGGTGCGGTGGTTGAGGATGCGGATGAGCTGCTCGCGCAAATCCGCGTTGGCCGCCGTGAAGCCACACTCCTGTCTCATGCCCACCTCCAGTGAGTTCTCCAAGATGGTCAGCCTCTTCCGAGCCTTCCGCACATACGCCTGGTGCTGCGAGTCGGGAACTGTCAGGCGATTCAGATTGTAGATCTGCTTGTCCATGCGGCTGATTTCACGGTCCATATTATAGATGGAGGTCTTCAGGGAGTTGATGTTCTCCGAGAGAGTCTCCTGGCACTCAACGTGGCAACGGATGTGCTCCAAGTAACGCTCGTTACCTTTCTGGTGGGTGGATCCACTGGCCACCCAAATCTGGGCCCTCAGGTCGTTCTTCTCCTCCTCCAGCTGGTCTATGGCCGTCTCGTAACTAGCCTCGATGATGGTCTCCTTACGAGACTTGAGCTTGCTAGAAAGGATCTTCTTGTATTCCCGCTGCCGCTTGCCCAGCTCCTTGTGCTTCAGAAGGTACCCCTCAAGGAAGGCTCCCTTGTCGAACTGCACTACTTCATCCATGGCAATGGCGGAACACTATTTCTTGAATTTAACCAACGAAACAAAAGTGTTGGAATTATAAGTGTATTGTGTTTTCTTACAGGAACGTGTTTGTGTTCTGTGTGTCCTAAGGAAAGTGTATGAGTCAAAACTAAAGGGGATATTGATACTAATGATTTGGACTTTCATGGCAGGTGAGACTAATAGATTAGAACAGACTCTTTAGATCTATTCTATAACTTGTCTAGCTTTCTGTTGGTTAGTGAGTTTTAGGGTTGAAGACCGTTTTTCAACCCATAAGGACGAAAACCCCTAATAAAATCATAAACTAGAAACTAAGTATGATGTTTAATTTATTTTGCCGTCTTAACTGAAAGTTGATCTACATGATTCTCCGTATACCGACCCAAAATTCGAATTAAATCGCGACATGAAACCATCTCTTCGATAGCTTCAGAGTATGAAGCTTAGTCAAAAACACATATGTTTTAAATGACCTTCTCGACCTTGAGTTCACACAACTCCTTTTTAACAAAAAAGGATAAAAACCGTCGAGGTCCCTGGGAATAGTGTGACGTGGTGACCCACGGGAATACTAACATTCCGATAAATTTACATGCTCCTCTGCGCGGCCAAAAGACGCGACCGGGGCAGGCGGCACTGGCTGATGCTGTGGAGACGGTACTGGATCTCCGGCTGGGTGACCTTCTCGTAGAGCTTCTTCTTGGCCTCCTTGATGGTGTGCGGGTAGGAGAAGTCACCGCCCTCGTCGATGTTCTGGGCATCCGTCTCGGCGCACTCGGGACACTGCTGGGTCAGGACTATGTCTGAGATGTCGGTGAGTCCTTCGCAATTCTTAACCACCTCCCGGACTACGTAACTCATGGGGTTACCGGCTCGGCGCTCTTCTGCATACACACTTGCCATCACGTTTAGCACCCGGGTCTCCAGGACCTTCAGGAATCGCTTGAGATTCACCAGATTGACGTGAGTGTGGTCGCCCAGAAGGTCATTGAAGGGAGAGGCGTCGATGGCGCAAATTTGACAGACGGCCTCCACGCCCCCGAGAAGATTCTCCAGCTGGGTGGCGTTGCGTTCTCTCACCTCGACAAGGACCATGTTGGATTGCTCCTTTGACCGCACCTGGGTCTCTAGGCTCTCGATCTTCTCGAGCTGTTCCTGCAACGTGTCTTTGTTATCTCGGCGCAGAGCTACTATGTCCGCCATAAGGTGATTCACAGAGTTGTTAAGCATCGTTATGTGGTAGCTCATCTCGGTAGAGTAGTTGAAATAGGAGTAGTAGAGGCTCTCCTGGTTGTTGAACTTGGCAATAACCTCGTCCATTTTGAGGGAGTTCGTGAAGCGGAGTACCTTTCTCAGCACCGAGGTGTAGAGATTGATCTTCTTGCGGTGCATCGTCCGGAACTTCTCCCGCCTCTTGTACTCCTTCGGCTGGAGGTCCGCCAGTTCCCGGGGCTTAGCCTTACAGTTTAAAAAGGAGGCGTTGACGGTGTCGGCAGTTGTTTTCCGCACCACCGCCTGGGCCTCCAAGCGGCGTTGTTCCTTTTCCTTCTTGGTTTGCTTGGCCAGTTTATCGATCTTCTCGTATACGTCGATGCAGTTGTCAAAGGTGCTCACGGCGTACTCGATCATGTCTGTCATATACTTCTTGTCGCTGTTCAGCTTCTGGACCATTTTGGTGTAGGAATCGTTGAAGCTGGTGCGGTAGTTGAGGATCCAGATGAGCTGCTGCCTCAGATTTGCGTTTGTCGCCGCCATGTCACACTCTTGACGCACTGACGTCTCAAGGGCATCCTCCAGAAGGCTCATCTTCTTTCGCACTTGGCCCACATGCACCGTATACCTTTCATCGGGTACAGTATTCTGATTCAAGTGATAGATCTGTTTGGACATTCTTCCGATCTCGCGTTCCACGTTGATGATGGACCTTTTCAGAGAACTGATGTCCACGGCGAGGTTTTCTTGACACTCCACATGGCACCGAATGTTGTCCAGGTAGCGCTGGTCCTCCTTGCGATAAGTGGAGCTATTGGCCACCCAGATCTGAGCCCTCAGATCGTCCTTCTCCTCCTCTAGCTGGTTGTTGGACGTCAGGTAGCTGGCCTCCACGATAAGCTCCTTGCGCGTTGCTAGCTTGGTGGAGAGGATATTCTTGTACTCCCGCTGCCGTCTGCCCAGATCCCTGTGCTTGGCCAGGTAGCTCTCGAAGAACTGACTTTTGTTAAACTTTTCGGTATTGTCCATGGCCAGTGTTCTTCAGTTCCTCCAAAAAGAAAGTGTATATTGTAAGTGTAGTGTTTGTGTGTGTGTTTTTTTTTTATTTTTTGGGATCGTGTACATGGGTGTTTTGTGACTAGTTTGTGTGTGTCTGTCGTGTTGTGTCGAGGGTTGAGTTTATAATAAACTTATTTCCCAAGGCATCCTATTCCAAAGCATGTTAATATTACATATTTTGATATGCTATAGCTACTCCATTTATCCATTAAATTAATGCCTGTTTTATAGTTAGTTATAGACTAGAAAACTTTCATTTAAATAGTTCTTTATTTGCGTGAGTCTCAGAAAAGTGCTCATACTTATGTAAGTACGCCCGTATGTACATCTCATGGTAACAAAAATTTAGTCGATGGTCAAATCTTAGAAAAGAAGTTTTTAAATTGTTTTCGTATTAATGGATTATCGAAATTGAAAATCCTACTGGTGAGATTAGCATAATTCCATCCACGGTAACCTCAACGGAATGGTGGCCTAATCAACCATAGTTAGCAACAAATGACTAGGCCCAAGTTCAGTCCCAATCCCCGTTACCAAATGGATCGTTAAGAAGGCCAAGAAGCTGCTGGTTTCCGCATCTTCCCAACTCTACATAAACCGCTTCGAGGCCAGGAGACGGCAGCGGGGCAGGCGGCATTGGCTGATGCTGTGGAGGCGGTACTGGATCTCCGGCTGGGTGATCTTCTCATAGAGCTTCTTCTTGGACTCCTTGACCGTGTGTGGGTAGGATAGGTCGCCGCCCTCCTCGATGTTCTGGGCATCTGTCTCGGCGCACTCCGGGCACTGCTGGGTCAGGACGATTGCGTCTATGGGCGTCAATGTGTCGCAGATCTTCTCGGCGGTTTTGACCACATAGTCGAGGTCCTTAATATCCTTATCTTCACGCTCCTGGGTATAAACGGAGGCCAGCACCTCATAGACCCGGGTTTCGAGCAGCTTTAGGAAGCGCTTCAGGTTGACCAGGCTGACGTGATTGTGGTCGCCGAGCAGCACCATTAGGGTAGTCTTGTCCAGGTTGCACATCTTACATATGGCTTCCACGCCCTGCAAAAGACTTTCTAGGAGAGCCTCGTTGTTTTCTCTAACTTCCGTCAGCTTCGAGTTGGACTCCTGCTTGGCTGCTGTCAGCGCCTCCAATTTGGCTATCTCCTCGACCTGCCACTGCAGGGAGTTGACATTTTCATTCCTGAGCCTGACGATGTCCCGAAAGAGATGGTTCACCGAGTTGTTCAGCATGGTGACGTGGTAGCTCATCTCGTTGTTGTAGTTGAAGTAGGAGTAGTAGAGGCTCTCCTGCTGCTGGAACTTTTCGATGACCTCGGCCACGTTGCGGGATTCGGTAAACTCCTTGATCTTCTTCAGAATGGAATCGTAGAGGTTAACCTTCTTGCGGTGCATCGTCCGGAACCTTTCCCTGCGCCTGTACTCCTTGGGCTGCAGGTCGGCCAGCACCCTGGGCTTGGCCTTGCACTCGAAAAAGGCCAAAGTATCCCCCTTGGCTACAATTCTCCGCACCAGTCCCTGCATCTCCACCTTGCGTTGTTCCCCCTCCCGCCTGTCGCGCTTAGCCAGCAACTCGTTCTTCTCGAAGATCTCGATGCAGCTGTCATAGGTGGAAAGCGCGTACTCGACCAGGTCGATGAGATACTTCCTTTCAGAGTCCAGCTTCCTTATCATTTTGGTATAAGAGTCGTTGAAAAAGGAACGGGTGTTCAGGGTGAAAATGAGCTGTTCCCGCAGTTTCGCATTCTGGGCCGTGAAGGCGCCCTCCATGCGCACACCCACCTCCAGGCTGTTTTCCAGAAGACTCAATTTCTTCCGCTTGTGCTGAACCTCGGCAACATACCGGTCATCAGGCATTGTCTTCAGACTGAGATTGAACAACTGCTTGTTCATACGACCGATCTGCATCTCCATATTGGCAATGGAGGTCTTCAGCGAACCGATGTCGTCGGCGAGATTCTCCTGGCACTCGACATGGCAGCGGATAAGCTTCAGGAAGCGCTCGTTTTCCTTTTTGTAGGGCCTGCCGCCGGCCACCCAGATCTGGGCCCTCAGTTCGTCCTTCTCCTCCTCCAACTGGTTGTTGGCCTGCTTGTAGCTGGCCGCCACGATGAGCTCCTTGCGAGACATCACCTTGCCGAACAGGAGATTCCGATACTCGCGCTGTCTTTTGGCTAGCTCCTTGGTCCTGACCATGTAACTCTCGAGGAAATCATGTTTGGGAAACTTTGTGATGTCATCGTCCATGATGGCACTACTCTATTCCTTCCAGTTTCCAAAGGATATGTTTAAAGTGGAATATGTGTTTAAGTTTAGTTTAGGGGGAGTGTTATGTATTGAGTTGTGTGTTTCTTGGAAGTGTCTGATAGTCTGAGGAACTTGAATGGATCTATGTATGTATGAAGTATAGTGCAAAGAATAATGATTAGGGAACTTTTTGTTCTATTTCATAAGAAATTTTTAGAAAATACTCAATAAAAAACCTTTAATTCATATAAAACATTTTTTTTTATTTTTACATCCAATAACTTTTATAATTTTTTCGGGAATACTTTGTGATCTGCATTCTTGTTTTATGGAAACATAAATTTGGCGGTTAATTTAAATATTTTTTTTTTGCATACTAATGCATGCCGCAAAAGTCAAAACCCTGTTCCGAAATAGACTATAGTGTTGTCCAAAAATATATACATAGAAATCCTTTAAAAAATCCTTAAAAATCCACCTCAAGGCAACCTATTTGACAGCCTCGGGAGAATCATCAGAAAAGAAAAGGAAACAGAATTGCTGGGTTGGCCACCGAAGCAGGAGGACCCGGTGACCAAGCCGGAGATTAGGCGTTGCGCTTGGCGGCCAGAAGACGAGAGTGGGGCAGGCGGCACTGGCTGATGCTGTGGAGACGGTACTGGATCTCCGGCTGGGTGACCTTCTCGTAGATCTTCTTCTTGGCCTCCTTGATGGTGTTCGGATAGGAGATGTCTCCGCCTTCGTCGATGTTCTGGGCGTCTGTTTCGGCGCACTCCGCGCACTGTTGAGTGATCATTATGTCATCCAGAGGAGTAAGGTATTCGCACACTTTGTACACCTCCCTCACAACGAAAGAGCGATTCTTCGCTTCCCGCTCCGTGGTGTAGACACTGGCCACCAGATTGTAGACCCGCGTCTCGAGCAGCTTCAGGAAACGCTGAAGGTTGACCAGGTTGATGTGGGCGTGGCTGCCCAGCAACGGGGTCAGAGGAGAGCGGTCCATCCGGCACATGTCGCAAATGTTCTCCACGCCCTGAAGCAACCCCTCCATCTTGCTATCGTTCTGCTCCCGCATCGTCTGGATACCCATGTTTTCCTCCTCCTGATTTTGCACCTCGCTCTCCAGGGAGGCAATCTCGTCCAGCTGGTTTTGCAGTGTGTCGTTCTTTTCATTCCTTAGATCGACTATGTCCTTGTACAGGTGATTGACGGAGTGGTTGAGCAAAGTCACGTGGTAGCTCATCTCATTGTTGTAATTGAAGTAGGAATAGTAGAGGCTCTCCTGGTCGTTGAACTTTTCAATGACCTCGTCGACCTTCTTGGAGTTTGTGAACTCTTTGATCTTTCGAAGGATCGAGCTGTACAAATCGACCTTCTTGCGGTTCTTCTCACGGAACTTCTCCCGTCGCTTGTACTCCTTGGGCTGGAGATCGGCCAGTTCCCGGCCCTTACCCTTGCACGTAATGAAGGCCGAGGTGTCATTGTCGGCGGCCATGTTGCGGTGAACCGCCTGCACCTCTAGGCGGGCGTTCAACCCCTCTCGAGCGTTCCTCTTCCGCAACATTTCGAACTTCTCATAGACCTCGATGCAGCCGTCGAAGGTGGTGAGGGCGTATTCGATCAAGTCGAGCATGTACTTCTTGTCGCTGTTCAGCTTCTTCACCAGCTTGCTGAAAGATTGGTTGAAGAAAGTACGGATGTTGAGAATACAGATAAGCTTCTCCCTGAGCGCGGCGTTCAGAGCCGTGAAGGCGCCCTCCTGGCGCACTCCCACCTCCAGGTTGTTGTTCAGGATCTCCATCCGCTTGCGCTGCTTAAAGACATAGGCCATGCGCCGGTCGTCGGGCGTGGTCTGCAGATTCAGGCTATATAACAGGCGGGCCATGCGGCCGATCTGAACTTCCATGTTGGTGATCGATGTCTTCATGAACTGAATGTCCTCATAGAGGTTCTCCTGGCACTCCACGTGGCAACGAATCTGGGCCAGAAAACGGTTATTGATCTTTTTATAGCATGTACTGTTGGCCACAAAGATCTTGGCCTTCAGTTCGTCCTTCTCCTCCTTCAACTGCTCAATCGACCTCACATAGCTGGCATCGACGATGGCATCGTTCCGGGTCTGCAACTTGGTGGTCACAATATTCACGTAAGCCCGCTGCCGTCTTCCCAGCTCCTTGTGCTTCAGCAGGCAGCTCTCCAGGAAGGGGAATTTGTCGAACTTTTCGATCTCATCATCCATGGTGTTCTCTCAAGCGAAAGAAAATTTTGTACCCAGGTTTTGTGTTCTTTGGATATGAATATTGTTTCGGCAAGTGTCTAGAATAGATTCTATAGAATCTATATCAAAATTGGCATATATTTTGGGTGAAGCTGTTCTCAAGGCAAGAGTGATCCAAATTAGTATTTCAAATGTTTGAATCAAAAATGGTTGAAAGCTCAATCAGGTTCGAATTATACTCTTTTCGAATTATACTCCCCCTTTTACCATATATGAAAAAAAAATCACATTGGAATTTTTACAAAGAATTGTAATTTAATCGGTAAATTTTAAAACATTTTAGAATTGCCTTCATATAACTTCATACAAAAATCTGAAACATCCCATATAGAAGTCACTGCTGAGAAATGCCAGAACTCTCTAATGCGTTAAAGATTTTGAAGGTTGACCAAATGTAGGCGGCCTTGCGGAGGTCGTTGCAGAGGGCAAACTTGTTGGCCACCTGCTTGATTCCACGGGCCGCCGATTCCATTACAGTTTGGAGAGCCGCATCCACAATATCCGCCTCAGTGGTGCACTCGCGCATCTTCTTTAGCTTCTTGTTGGGCTTGATCTCGGGCTGAGGATGGAGAATCTTAGTTTAAGTTCTTTGAGGATCTTACGAATAACTCACGAATTCTCCATCGCCACATTCGTTGAGCGACTGATTGATGGAGTTGAGAGTCTCCTTGATAAGTTCCGAGGTAGTCTTGGAGTTCATCTTGCCATAGGACACATGGTTGATGTTCTTCAGGTACTCAAAGTAGGAAACTGTTACCCCGCCAGCATTGCAGTAGAGGTCTGGCACCAGCAGCGCTCCCTTCTCCAGCAGGACTTTCTCCGCCGCTGGTGTCGTGGGTCCGTTGGCGCCCTCTAGGATCAGCTTGGCCTTGACGTTGCTGGCGTTCTCGGTGGTGAGTACTTTCTGGGTGGCACACGGCAGGAGAATCTCGCATTCGGCGGTCAACAGATCTTCGGTAGTCTCCTCGGCCTTAGGATATCCCTTAATGGACTTCATTTCAGCCACATAGTCGAAGAGGTCCTGTGGGGATTAGATGGTATATTAAACTCAGTCGTTTTCGAAAAAGTCCACCTACTTCAATGTCAATGCCATCGTTATTCTTTATCGAAACATCAAACTCCTTAATCCCAATCACCTTGGCACCAGCTTCGTGCACAAACTTGGCCGCGAAGGAACCTACATTCCCGAATCCCTGGACAATGCATCGCTTGTCCTTCCACCCCGTCTTAAAACCTATCAGATCCATCCACTCTTTGTCCTGAACAAATAGATCGCCGGACTTCCAAACGCCCCTGCCTGTGGCCGAATGGCGACCATTAATCCCGCCCACGTGGACCGGTTTCCCGGTCACAATGGCCAATGCGTTAATGTCCTTGTAGCCGAAGGTTTTCGAGTATTGATCGACGATCCAGCTCATTTCCCTTGGACCGGTGTTCACGTCCGGAGCCGGCACATCGATGCCCGGCCCGATCATGTTGCGCTTCAGCAGCTCCATGGTGTAGCGACGGGTGATCGTTTGCAGCTCGGATACGGCATACTTCTTGGGGTCCATTCGGATGCCGCCCTTGGATCCGCCATAGGGAAGGTTGACACACGCGCACTTAAAGGTCATGATCGCGGCCAGGGCCTTCACCTCACTCTCGTCCACATCCATGGCAAAGCGAATCCCTGTGGAAAGTATTACCATTTGAGATCGAAAGCCAGAATCACAAAATCAATTAAAAATACCGCCTTTGAGAGGCAACCGATGGCGGACGTGGTGGGCCCGGTAGCCAGTGACGATCTCATAGTTGCCATCTTGACGAATGATGGGAAAGTTGACCTCCACCGAGGTGGAGACGCTTCCTATGAGGTTCAGAATGGCACTGACTCGGGCCTTGCGCTCCTCCGGCTTCATGTGCGTGTACTTCTCCATGCTCTCGATCAGCGACGGTTCCATGGCCTGGGCCGCTTTGTGATAGTAGTAGAGCACCATGGCTGAGAACTCCGGATCCTTGTCCGTCTCCACCTTCTTCAGGTGTTCCGGCATTTTGTGTTCCCAGCGGACCATCATAGGACCACAAGGACGCACAAGGCTTCGCATTCCAAAGAAACTCTTCGTCATGAGCCTCAACATAATGGAACCGCAGAAGATGTTATGTTTTTGGTTCTTTTAATTTTGGAGCCCCAAAGTATATTTTTTAGATTTTAAAGATTTTAAATTTGTTGATACTATTTCGGAAATGTTACACATTAGTCAAAGACGGGTTTGTTAGATTGATTGCGATACTGAGTTTTCAAATTGACGTTTCTTTTTATTGTTTGTATCATTAGCAATGTTAATCGATAACTCTAGATTAAAACGTACGCTCTGTATAAATACAATAGTTTAGAATTGCTCTACAAAATGTATGTGGTTTTTTCTTTTTTTTAGATCGTAACTTTACGTAATACGTGGCTAAGCATCTAGGAGCTAGACTTAAGTAGTTAATAGACATACAAATACACATCAACGCGCTTAACACCTAACTATGGTAGTCTATAGAGTCTAGGTCCTACAAGTACGCCTAGGGGCTAAAACAAGGAGTTCACAAGGAGTGTCCTGTCGTCGTTCTACGTTTAAAACTTTTGGGATCGCACGGAAGCGCACAAGATGGGTTGCGAGTTGCGGGAAAAGATTAAAAAAAAGTCGTGGCTTGGAAGTTGGAAAACTTAGTTGTACCAGTAGCACAGATTACACAGATTATACAATATAAATACTAGAGACCTACTTATAACATCTTCATCAGCCTGCCTTCCATATATACATGCATGATTTTTATTTGTTTGTTTTTTTTGTTGAAATGTTTCTGGTGCCCCGTGCGGGTAAAATGATTATTTACGTATAACAAAATGTTGCGCTCTAATATCACTTTTGGGGGGGACACATGCTTTATGGCCTCTAACAATGTTCGATTCTTGCCGCAGACATCATTCGCATTGCACACAGAACTTCATATTAATTCTCTCTCAATTCTTATCCTTTTTTTTTACTGGTTATCTCTTGCTCAACTTAAAGCTAACTCTGAAGTATTTTAAATTAATTTCAAATTAATTCAAAAGTCTAATTTTTACACGATAATTACAAGCAAGTTGGGGAGGGGATAGTTTTGAATTTTCAGGGTTTCTTGGGGGGTGTTGGGCTTTGGGTGGGTAATCTCGTAGCAAGATCGCAGTTCGGGGGCTGCTGCTTAAAAGCTAACATCACGCTTGGTAAACAATAACGCTCGAAAGTATTTTTTGCGGCTGGTGGTTGAGTACAATCCGGCTGGGGGGCAGCTCACCCAAGATGGGCAGCTTCACTGCTGCTCGTGGACTAGTCCACGTCCTTCTTCTCAATCTTAAGATCATATTTGGCCACAAGTTCCTCCGGCGTGTGTCTGCAGGATAAACGAGAAGATTAGTTTATTGAAATCTCACTTGTTAGATTTCTTAACTTACCCAACTAGATTCTGGAGATCACAGACGAAACGGTAGACATAGCGTTTTCCTGCCGTCTTGTGGATGATGTTTTTGTCGTAATAGTAACGCAGACCCCGACTCAGCTTCTCGTAGTTCATCTTGGGCTTGTTCTTTCGGATGCCCCAGCGACGAGCCACCTAAAGGGAAAGGATATCGCATAAGAAATGGATACAAGCCACTCATAATAGTCACTCTTACCTCATCCGGATCCGTTAGCTTGAACTCCCAACCGTCGCCCGTCCAGGAGATGAAGCTCTGGCACGTCTTGTCCAGTAGCAGCTCCAGCAGGAACTGCCACAGCTGGATGGGACCGGAGCCCGTGAAGCACGGCACTCCACCCTGCGTCGTGTAGCCTCCTAGCAGGCCCTTGTCCAGCCCCAGGGTGCTCATGTACGCCGCTGGATGCTGGTGCGGGTGGGATGCTCCCCACTGGTCCATGCCCGTTGGCTGGACGGCCATCTGGAAGGACTGAGCGTCATAGGGCGTGAACTCTGGCCCATAGCCGTCGTGGAAGCGACCCCGGCCATAGGCACCGTAGAACTCCGAGCTGCTGTCCATGCCGTAGCCGTTGCTGTTGCCGGAGCTGCCATTGCCGCCACTTCCCGGACCGTTGCCTCCGCTCGAGGCCTGGCTCTGGTGCTCCTGCGCCGAGATCGTGCTGTGGTAGTCGCTGTCATCGCCGCCGCCTCCCACGGAGCTGCCACCGCCCCCCGCCCCACTTGTGTAGGCGGCCAGGTGGCTGGGCAGACCGTAGCTGCTGAGATCCGTGGGATCGTTCTGGTTGCCTCCGTAGGAGCCGCCGTTCTGGCCGGTTCCTGGCTCCTCCTTCAGCTGGTGTTGGTAGATTGCCGCCATGGCGGCCATGTAGTTGATGTTGTTGTTGTTATTATTATTATTATTGTTGTTGTTGCTGCCCGCATTGGCATTGTTGCTGCCGCTGTTGTTGGTGTTGTGGCTGCTGCTGTTTGCGTTGCTGCTGGCGTTGTTTTCGTTGTTATTGCTATTTTGTTGTACAGCGGGCGGTAGCATGGAGTTGTTGGGGTTGTTGTTGTTGCTGCTGTTGTTGTTGCCGCCGCTATTGTTGTTGTTGTTGCCATTGACAGTCGGCTGTTGCTGCTGCTGTTGCTGCGATTGCTGCGGGGGCGGGCTGTTGTTGCTACGATCATGAGTGTTGCTGCTGTAGCCTGTAAGTGGAAAAGAATATGGAAATAATTGGATTAGAATTGATAGCTTCAAGGGTGATAATACGGCTTAAGTAACAGAGAATCTGGGCTAGAAAAACTATAATGATCTTGTTAAACACGTGTTTTTTTTTTCTTAAACATCAATGTAGTTTCTACCCTGTCTTCATACAATAAATTCCCTATTTGAAGAAATCTAAGAGTATTCACTTTTGTATTGATTTCGTAGGATAGTCTTTTTTAATATTTCCCATAAGAAATTGTTACTATCTAAATCTTAAAAAATTGTTAATCTCTTCTTGGAAAAAGTTACCTTTGGAGATAAAAAAAATTTCTCATGGAAAAATTAAACACCTTTCGCCGCTTTTTTCTCACGCCAACACTTTGGCCGTAAATTGCTTGCAATTTCAATTAAATCGCGTTCATTAGAAATGGGGCGTCCCTCTCAATCGAGCGGAAGACTTCGAAAACCAATCAAAATCACGACCCATACACCACCACAGACGCAAGACACACGCACACAGATACACTCGCATACCACCACCACGACACCAATCCCGACACATCTAATGGTCTTTCGGGGAGTGAGTGAGTGTGGACGCCACACATTAAATGCCAATACAGGGAAACTTAACACATTTCCAGCGAGTGTGTATGTGGGTTGAGTATCTGTGGGATTGAAAACCTGTTGAGGCATACCGATACACACAGACACACTCGTGCGGTATTGCCATCTCCCTCGCTGGCAAAGCAAAGAAATAAAAAGCTTTCGTTTGGCTTCCCATTCGCTCGCTGGCCCCTTGCTGTGTACAACTGCGCAGATACAGATACAAAGATACAGATACAGCCGCCCCCCGTTGGCTGGCGAAAAAAGAGTTGGCAGCGCTGCGCTTAGGTGCCGCCTCCCGAGAGATCAGGAGAACCATTCAATAAGACAGCATCTCTCGCATCCGCATCCCGAAAGACATCCCTTCTAGCCCCGCAAACAAGGCACTTAATTGTCAAATACTTATCGTCTAATCTACACCCCGTCCCACAACAGAAACCTGTTGCGTGTTTGCCACTCAAACACTTAAAAACGAATTAAGTTACGAATTTAATTATGCTTCTTCTGGCCTGCTGATTTTCACACCCCAGCACACCCAGGAGGAAAGCCAGGCATCTCGGCAAACCAACCCAGAAATTGTAATTAAAAGTACCACCATTTGAAGTTGGTAAATATTTGACAAGGTGTGGACGGTGTGGATGGAGGAGGACTGAGAACTGAGGTGTCGGGGTCACCCCGGAGGAAGTCTGTGTACCTGAACTGAAGAAGTTGACATCCGAATCCGTGTAGTAGGCATTCGCATCGCCGCCCACGAAGGGCGCAATGTCGTTGAAGTACCCCAATCCCAGCGAGGCAGCCGTGGAGCTGCTCAGAGCCCCCACCAGACTGCTGCTGGCTGATCCTGCTCCTGTCCCTGCACCAGCTCCGGCTGCCGCTCCTCCAAATCCGCTGGAGGAGGAGCCACTCGAACTGGAGCCGGAGGAGGTGGTGTTGGAGGCGCTGCCCGTACTGCCGCCGGACAATCGATGGTGTTGCTGTGGGGATCCATAATGCTGCTGGTGATGTGGCTGCTGCTGCTGTGGCTGTTGCAGTTGTGGGTGGTGGGGCTGCTGTTGTTGCAGCTGATGATGCTGCATTAGCGGCTGTTGCCCCAGTTGCTGGTGAGGATGCAGGTGGTGCGTGTGCGGATGATGATGGTGATGATGCTGAGCCAGATGATAGCTCGGATAGTTCTCGTAGCTCTGCAGGACCATGTTGTTGCTGGCTGCCTGTTTGTAGTTAAAGTTGGGAGCCGTTTGGCTATTGTTGTTGCTGGTGGTGCTGGTGGCAAAGTGTTGCTGTTGCTGGTGGAGGAGCTGCTGCTGCTCCTTGTGGCTGTCCAAGGCGTTGGCGGCACTGATTATGGTGGCATTCCCTAAAAACGCAGAGGGCGGCATTTCTTCGCTTCAAGTTGATCGATTCTCAAAAACGGAAACTCCACCTCGCTGGTCAAAGTGCACGTCATTGACTCGAGAACTGTGCCGGGAAATCTGCGGGATCTCAACTCTCCGAATCCGAATCCGTTGTCACAATTCGGTTCTGTCAATTGTGGCTTATGCTGGTGGTACTTGCGCTTGTATTAAAATTGATTTCACTTTTAGGTTTTTGAGTATTTCCTCAGAGGGTGGATAGGATACTACACTATGTATATTTTAATTTTTGCACTGTCAGGCCCAAACACAACACACACTCACACTCAATATTTGGCTGTTGGTTTTGTGGTTTATGATTTTTGGTTTGCCAAGCACATGCGGGTCCTAATCAATTGGATTGCCCGCTGGACAATTGATAAGTTTTAATAAACAAGAGGTGTCTGGGGACCTCTGTGGGTGATGTGGACACTCGAAGAATTCTTCGCTTAGTTTGCTTTAATTTTTTAGTTGCTGCGGTAATCACTTGTCGGTTGTGTATTTGCGAAATTTTAATCTGTTCACACACTGCCGCGAATTCTTAGCACTTTTGCTGTAGAAACTAATTGCCATTAATTCTCGCCTCCGGCCGTTGATAAATTCCGTAAATAAATGCGCATATATCGTACATTGTTTCCATTCCGCGCCACAATCAGCTCACTGTGTTTTTTCTGATTTATTAAATTCTTTTTGGGTTTTTTATCGTTTCAGCGACCCTCTATAAGTATTTATAAATTAAGTATTTCTGCGCGCGCGATAAAAGAACACTGCGTGCGAGGCGATACAAGCGATTCAAACGATCCAAACGATTCAAACGATCCAAGCGGCGTATGAGCGATTTTGTATCTTACAGTTGCGCTACCTTCGACATCCGTTCAAGAAGTGAAGTTGCTTTGAAGTTGCACTCGGGTTGTTGCCTGTTCGCCGCTGGCCGCTCGTCGGCTGTTCGCTCTCTTTCCCGCTCGGCTCGGTGCGTTTGTGTGGGAGAGCGGTGCTCGGGTCGGCGTTTGGACGTTCGGCTCCAGCACATTGCGGCACACACAGCGTCGGTTTACAGATACACAGATACTCAGATACACTCAGAGTGTGTGCCAATGGCAAATAATAATAATCGAGAATACTTTCACAGGGTGTTTCTCCCGACCGGAGACCCGACCTCTTCCTCTCTTTCCCACACGTCGCGTTCTCCCCACTAGTGCCTCCAGCTTAGTGCCAGCCACTAACCAAAAAACGAAGGAGACCCTTGGCTGCTGCGCATTTAAAAAAATTAAGATTTCGAGACCATTTCGAGATACAACTTGTTGATTTGGAAATAATTTACTACACAGTACAGTTTCTCCAGCCCGAAATTGGCTTTTCAGATCATTAACGACGCCAACTCGTCAGCAAATCACAAGGCAGCCAGCCAGCTAGCTATCTAGCCACCCGAAAGAAACACAAAAAAGATACAAATGTATCTCGACCATAATGATAGAGTGGGCAGTAGCGGAGGCAGCCCCAGCACATCATCATCAACTGTATCTCACAGATACTAGCATAATGATCCAATGTGGGATTGGCTGCCACATCAAACACACACACACACACATACTCGATGAGATCATGCCAAAAAAAAAATATATATAAAACATAAAAAAAAAAAAACAAACAAAACTTAAAAATTAGTTAACTATTCCGAGCCAAAGGCATATGTACGTGTCTTCTTCAGATACACAATACGAATTATATAAATAGTATTAGTTTGGCGAAAAAAAATGGTGGCCAACTGGGGAAACGTGTTTTGGGGCATTTTTTCCGCCGTCCACCAGCCAATGACAGTTTGGTGTGGAGCTCTGTATGTTCATTTTTTTGGAGCGATTTCGGGTGAAGTGATCGCAGAACGTGTAATGCCAAAAGACACGTTTCCCCCTGGCCAAGATACATTTGTGAATATGCTTCCCCCCTATGTTGGTTATCAGGTTTCCACAGTGTGTTATCACGGCTCTATTGATTCCCGGCCCGACTGATAGCTTCCAACTGCAATGGCCCTCAAGTGGTTTCCTGGAAAAGTTTCTCGTGTATGCACCTCCAGCTGATAAAGCACAAAATCGGGGGGAGGTGAGGGCTATATAGGTGTATACCAGGGGGTGGGGTTGTTGCCAATTTAACGGCATACATAATAAAATAACGTATAAGGAAGACAACCCGAAATTATACAAAAACAGCTGTTGACCATGTTGGGGTTCCGGCCACAAAAGGATCGCTTAGTTGGGCCTCTTTCTGTCTTATTTTTTTTTTGGCCACTTAAGAATTCCGGTAGCACACGCCAGAAAAAATAATAATAATAATCGTATAATGTTAAAATAAGTTTTCAAAATATTTTCGGTTTTCGTGAGCTTCTGTCTTGTCTTTCACCATTTTTGTTCCTCTTTGATTTGGCTGCGTAAAGTGGCAAGAACAATAGACAACTAAAACCAAAAAAAAAAAAAAAAATAACCGGAAATACAAAAAACCGGAGAAAGAAGAAGCAGTAGCGGCAGCTGGGGGAGCGTCGGAAAGAGATGGCTGATGCGCCTCGCTTACGACCATTTCCGGTTGAAGCACGTGCGCACAGTACTGTATATGATGTAGTTACCGAAGAGGAGCGTAACCCGGGCCCCTCCTACTCCGTTCCACCCCTCCAGCTCCGCCCCAGAGCCAGGCCCTAACCCGATGAAAAGCCACCACCGAATCCCGAATACCCGAAAACCAATCACAACCTCATAAAACCGGCGACACTTCTGCCAAAGAGACAAAAAACCAACAATACTCGAGCTCGGCGAAGATGGCATATCCTACTTGCCCAAAACGCACACGTTCGCCGCCAAGGGTTAACACAACAATTATCATCCCGGGCATGAATACCAAATGAGTATGTTGGTGTGTGCCAAAGGAACAGGGCCCAGGCCCAAGCCCAACACAAAAAAAAAGGAGCAAAATGGAAGAGGCACACATATCTTCACTTGAATTTCAATTAAAACTTGTTTCTCACACAAAAGGATTACACATTTAATGCAATAACGCTTCAGGAAGATCGGGATCGGGATCGGGGTCGGAAGGAGGTGCAGGAAGCGCCTACGGAAAGAACAAAGAGCGCCAGATCGCAATAGAGTCCTGTGAAGGATGCTTAAGATGGCTAGAACAGCTGTCGGCTGACACTCGAGAGCCTCGCCATTCAATTGATATCAAATTAATGTGAGCCATCCAAGGATCGGGATTCTTTTGAGGAGCATTCTACAATCCGAGATGCACGTGTGCAAATTGCACTGCATTCTCCCGTGGGCTTTGTTGGCTGCAGGCACTTCCGGTCGAAGTGCCCCAACCATCTCTGTCGCGCTAATGTAAATCGGATGTCAAATGCATTGCGCGTGAGGCATATCAATTAAAAGAGCGAGACGGCAGGCGAAGGTAGAGAGCCCCCCGAAAGAGACGGGGCGAACCTGTTAGAAGACAAGCCAACATAAATAAATAAACTGTTAGTTAGGCTGGAAAACGGAAGGAAATCGTAAACACAGGCCAGTAGTTGTGGCTGGGAAGTTGCTGATGTTTTGACACGCATACTATCATAATTGCAGCTGCCCCGTGATTTTCCCCCAACATTCTTCCACTGCCCACAGCCCACCTGTTCCACCTGAGATAGACTACTGGGTCTGGTGTTCTTCTGAAGCTGCTGCTTCCGTGCAGGGGGCCAAGAATAATATCAATTTTCTATGTAAACCCAGCTCCATTCTGTTGCCGCAATTTCAGGTTCGAGAATACCTGCATTTTGACAACAAAATAAACAGATGCAACGGCAGCCGAGAATCCAAAGCAGCAGCAGCAGTCTCTCAAGAGCTCTGGCTTGATTGTTGGGAGCTGTAAACAACACACACTAAATCCAAACAACAACAATAATCATAATAACGCTCTGGGATGCGTTTCACAGCTCCTTTCTGTCTGGCAGCAGGAGAGAGCGGAAATGAAACCAGATACTTTGATAGCGACGCATGTGGCACAGCTCCAGGTCCCAGTCCCAGTCGCCTTGGGAAGGGGCCCGGGGCAGGGAATCTGAGGAAATCTAGTTCCAGATGATACACATGTATTGATATGCACTTATCGATCTTGATTAAGCAAAACGCTGCCAAGTGCTCTTGATCTTGATTTGTATCTACTTAGATTGCTGAAGTAGGATATGATCCTGCAGGTTGCTGAATGGAGGAGAGATCTCTGAATGCCGGAGATGTCATTGATCTGCATCTTGATGGAAATCGATCAAAAGACTGTCTGAAAGCCGATAGTTTATCCACTGTTTGGTGACTTTTGTGCGAAAATGAGACACTATCTGATGGGGCTGCGGAAACCAGAGCTCACAGATCAGAGATCCGTGAGACAGGTGTATCTAGATTAAGGATCAAGTTCGGGAAATTAGCTGATCAGGATGGGAAAAAAATCGCTGGTATGAAAGCTAGAATTATACCGGAAGTCACTATATTTAATATATTCAGGGATCTGGTTAAGTGATTTAATTTAAAAATCATAAAGCAAGGGAATCCCTTGGTTGCAAACCGGAAATGATCCGGCTGCCCATTGAGTGATCTTCAATCAGAACTCCTTCCAGTCAAGGATCTTTCTTCCATTGTCAGATGTGCTGCGGGGCAAACAGTTGGCCAGAACAGAGAGTGACTCGCTAAATGGCTCATTTATGGCCGGATTCCCACTGCGCCCCGAAATGTGGCATGCGGTCACCTCAGTGGAAGCGGAGTATGCAACAGCAACATTGCTGCCAGAGTACCGCAAAGCACAAACGAATGAACCTGAACTCGAATATTGTACGTAAGGGTGAGGGCGAGGGCGAGGGCGAAGGGTAAGCAGCGGGGGTGGGCAAGCAGCGGAGGTTGCCGAGCAACTCAAGCGGCTGACATTTAGAGAATTCTGCACCTGTCCGACTATCACCATGCCAACAAAAACAACAACAACACTGCGTGCGTCGTCAGCATTTCGGACAGCGACAACATGTGTGCCATATAGCCCCGATGAAAGACAGAGAGAGAGGGGCGAGGGAGACCAGAAAGGGACAGAGCAGAGCCAGAGGCGGCGGGCAGGAGGGATCTCCGAGGAACAACTGTTGTGCTCCGTTGCTCTTTAAATTATATATATTTTTTTTTTTAATTTTTTGTTCAAAAACCACACAGAACACAAAATGCTCAAAGTTTAAGATTAAAATCTAAAATAAATAAATATATTTTTACCGTTATCTTATAACCTTATATCTCATAAAAGGTTACTTTCTTGGAATTTAAAAATGATTTCAGAGCATTATTTTTGTGGAAGAGAATACTTGAAAGTAACAACTTGAAAGGTTAATTTTTGAGATACTTTATTTTTTAAATAAAAAATAAGATATATTTTCTTGGAGTGTAATTATTCCAGGGTCAGATTGTAAGGGCTCACACAGCACACACACAGATGCATCGCCCACACAATATCCGAGTGTGAGAAACTGCAGGCAGCCTGTGCTCCTGCCGCCTTCCTTCTTCCTTCCTTGTTCCTTATCTGGTGTTTACCCCTCGAGGCGAACAAGATGCAGTCAAGCGATATTGGGATATTAGAATGCCCAGGACCCGATCTCGATGGAGAAAACGATCTCGGGCTACCTGCCGGGCCACTTTGGGCCTGTTTGCCTAATTTACTTGTGCTCTCGTCCTCGGAAGGGGCATTGTATTCCAGGAGTTTCGAGTTTTCATTCATAAAAACAGAAAATCTCTGTGCAGGGGCTAAGGAT